AAAAGAAAAGTAAACTAAGTTGCATCACTTATCTCAACAATGCTTTGTATGGCACTGAAATGTTTTATTTTAAGTTGAATATGTTAACACAACTTGAATAGCTGACTTGCGGCCAACTTCTTTTGACCTTTTCCGATAACAAACACAGATAGGATGTTGGCGTTAATGTGTCTATTCCTTCCTAATGTTGAACCTCCTTTTTCGAAGATTAATGAATATTTGCATGCATTTATAAGGGTGGACTATTTATTTGCTGTCATCCTGTATTTGTGTGGGCTAAAAAGACCATGCATTCATTCATTCATAACCAAATCTGGCACAGACCAACAATTTTTTTCGAGGAGTGCATGAAATGGCGAGAACATTCAAGATATATTAGGACGGTGAAATATGACTGGCTAAGCCATCGATTTTACCACAAGTTTGCACTGAGCTGTGGATAAATGAAAAATATAGTGATAATAAGAATACCGGTTCACCTGAATCCCAAATGGCCGGCCATTACGCCTTTTGCTAACCTATGAAAAAAGCATGTTTTGTTCACTCGAGACGGGCGTGTTTGGCAAATTTGAGTATTAAAAGGGACGACATACTCTCTCACGATTTTCCGAGATAGTAATTGCTTCGATAAGCAGATAGGTGATTTATGCTATAGCTGAATAGTTGCCTGTTGCCACTGGATACGCGTATTATAGTCAAGTTCCACCGATGACGGTCCGCACCCGATAATCCTCAAACAAATATTTCATTGTTGTTATGACCAGGCAATACCATACAAGAATCCGACGATTAACTTCTTATCCCACTCAATGCCGCGGTTTCTACTCCCGAGAATTATATAGAATTTGGGAGAATTATCGTGCAATATAGAGCTAAATAAATGCTTTTTTCCTGTCTGGTACGGTCCTGGAAATCAATTTTGAAGTGGGTTTACAAGTCTCAAGGACAAATTGTATACACGCTTTCAGTTTTCAAGTCCCATGTTTCTTACAACAAATAGTGAACGTCATATGCAAAATTAACACCGCATTTTCTAAATCATTCCCACGACAATATATGATGTGCTATAATGCAATTGAAATAAGCTATAAAGCTAGCTTGACTTGAAAAAAAAAGGAAATCCTTTACTGAATTTTTTAACGCTAAGGAATTTCTAGTTGCTGTTGCATTCTGAAATATATATATAGAGTTTATAGCGTTTGTTTATATAATTTATGCTTGTTTTGGTTCAGTATTTATTTCTTTACGAAGAATAGTTAACTCCCTATTGTTCGGCGTCTTGTCGGTACTTCCTTACTCAAGAAAATATGCATCTTTATTTATTCACGTATATACAAAGTTTTCCATTTATAAATATATATAAAAATTGCAAAATATTGTAAATCTCTCTCGATTGCAAAAAAATGTAAATACTATAATACAACCTAGCAGTCCTAATCTCAGTTGTTTGGTTCTCATTATAGAACTCTTACCCTTATGAGTTCTGACTCTAATATTTCATTGCTTGTTTGTATCAATTCGGACAATAGACAATAGGAAATTTGCTTAATAAAAGAACAGAAATTGTTATCATTTTTGGCCGGAAAATAAGAGGAAGGGCCCGAATTTTTGCCAAAAGACCGGCTGTTTCGAAACCTAATGGCTCATTAGAAAATAATCCTTGCCGTCTCTAAACCTAGCTTTACCCAGTGGTTGATCAAGCAAAATTACTGCAGCACAATTTCAAATACAAAGCATTTGGATAGCGATGTTACTGGTTATGAATTTTCAAAGAATATCTTATAACTCCTTTCTATACCAGTGCTATAATGGAATTACTTTGAGTCTTTGAAGGTTTTTTATGATATATCCTTGTCAGAGATGTTATATTTCGACTAACCCTAAATCTACCACTGCCTTTACCACGGCCGGATATATGCGGTTTCGAAAGATTAATCTGTATCATGTTTTACAAGCCCACACCAACTTATGGCAACATGAAGGAAATAATTTGTTACAGCTAAAAAGAGCATATACTGAAATTAGTATATAAGTGCTAAGCTTGGTTTCAAAACGTCATGTAGTACAGAAAATGGGCATGCGAAGTAGGCAATGTTTGCATACTTTTGCATGGATTACGGGCGTAAGTGCACGCGTGTAATTAATTTAATTACACTCTTCCGGCAATAATACAAAAGTATACAAAAAATTTGCCAAATTCGCTCGGCTATATCTTCAGTTCTCTGCATTATTTCGCAACCAAACTTGGCAGTTTTACGAGGTTTAGCATGTTCTTTCCGGAAATTCCCTTTTTGTCGCTAGAATCAAAAGGTGGCTATTATGCAAGTTACCAAGTGGTCTATAATCTCACTGGTGTTCTCAGTCAAAAATGCGTCGTACTCATTTTTGGTTGGTTTCAAATCAAGTGATTTTCGTGTTCGAAATTCTTTCGGATTTTGTTTAATTAAACTATTGAATTACTAACGCCATGACGGTAGATGCTTCATCGTATTACATCAACGAATGCTTTAAAATTTGTCAAGACCTAACCAGAAAATGCAATTGATAGCTTTAAATATGATTATATGATTCCAAGATTACGCAACAATCTCAAGATTATTCCGACCGAAATTTTCCAGTTTGAGGGGGAAGCTGTTGATATCGAATGTTACAAAGACAACTAAACATATTTCAGATTTGTATGTGCGATTGTGCGTTGAAAACCTGATCTTCATGAGTTACGCTGCGGCTGATTTTCTAAATATGACAAATATGACCAAAGCAGAAAAATTCACGCGCAGATAGTGTTGTAAAAGTTACAGATAACCTCAATTGAAAATATAAATCACGTGGGCGTTTTAGGCGGTTTCCATGTAACGCCACACCCCGCGTCACGTGTTAAGAATCATCATGAGCTGGGCTGTATCGCCCACTCAGTAGGGAAATGCATGCTTGTAGCACGAGAAAGCTAGATTAAGCTATTTTGCAACACCAAGGTCCGGTGTACACAATCGAATATTTTTGTAATCAAAATTTTTCACAGAAAAATCTACAGTGCCTGAGAATCCGTGATAAATATCACATTGGACCAACTTAGTGTTGCATACTGTGGAAGACCGGGATCCGTGATAAATATCACATTGAACACGGAATCCGTAATAAATATCACATTGAACCAACTTAGTGTTGCATACTCGCACAAAATTCCAGCTGTTATAATAAAACAGAAAGTTCACAGTATACACTAGGCCAGACTAGTCTTCGTCACCCCACAGTCGTCACTCCATGATCCCATTGAAAGCTTCATTTTGGCTATTGTAATCCGTCCAAAATCTCACCATTAATTAAGGCCAGTGTTTCTTAATTAAACACACACAGTGCATGCATGTGGGTGAGATTTAATTTAATTGTGCTCGACTGGTGTCAACGTGCTATTCTAGTATAGAGACGTCTATTCTTTTTCTCTGCGTGAGTGAAACATAAGAACTAAGAAGGCTTTAACAGCGAAGAAATCGAGCTCATGATGGAACTGACCTTTTCGACCTTGGTCGAGTTTACCATATTCCAGTATATTCGACCATGATTCGACCATATTCAAGTTTACCATATTCCGGTTTATTCGACCATGGTCAAGTATACCATATTCCAGTATATTCGACCATGACTCGACCATAATTATTCAAGTTTACCATATTTCGGTTTATTCGCTCATGGTCGAGTTAACCATGTTCCAGTATATTCGACGACGGTCGACTATACCATATTCCAGTAATGACCTTGTTCGAGTACTTACGATATTCCGGAATATTCCACCATGGTCGAGTTTACCATATTCTAGTATATTCGACCATGACTCGACCATGGTTGAGTACACCATAAATTATTTCGGGTATATTCGACCATGGACGAGTGTACCATATTCCTGTATATTCGGACATGTTCGAGTTTACCAAATTCCAGTAAATTCGACCATGGTCGAGTATACCATATTCCGGTCGAATATGCCGGAATATGGTATATACTCGAGTAGGATATTCAACCTTGATGTGGTCGAATATACCGGAATATTGCATATTCGACCTTGATTAGGTCCAATATAGCTACCGGAATATGGTATATTCGTCTTTTGCATGGTCGAATATACCGAAATATAGACCCCATAGAGGTATTGGAGTATGGTACAAAACATCGCATTAGTCAGCCAAAATGCTGGATCTGCTCCTGGCATCGTTTGGCTAGAGTTTGGTTGACTAGCAATGGGAGATCCCCTTTCCCATGCATGCAGCAGGGAACTTAATAGTAAAAAACATACACGGTGAGCTTTTTAACCCATTTTAGCTTTCAAACAAAACAACAAATTTACGGTGATATTTCAACTCTTTTTCAAACTTCTAGTTTGAGAATGACTTCTGAGTTCCGGCAGGCTCATTCGATAACATTTCAAACAAAAAATCACGCTTCTCGATCGAGTGATTTTCATACTCTTAAGTAAAATGATGTAAATCAGCATTCATCTATAATGTCAAACGAACCAGAAGCATTTACTTTTTTAACAAACTGAAGGAATTTGTTTCTCCAGGTTCAACGCCGGCGCCCCCGCACATTTGCAAGCAGGCCATTTCGCTGAGGGATCAACGGACAATGTCTAGTGCCCGTTTAAACTTCACTAAAAAATTATTAAGATGGACCAACATCCGCCCACTCAACTGAGAATTTCGATCATTTTTCAGTGATACAGGGGACTACGGGATGACTCTAGACTATCAAACTTAAATTATAAATTAAAATACCTGTAAATGCGTGCATTTACGAAGAAGAGATTGATAGTTTTATGGGGCGAAAGTGAGAGAAAGTGAAACCATGCAGCCTAAAATGGCATCTTTATTGCAACGATAACTAAATCATAGTCCATAGGAAAGCCAGAACAGTTTAGCAAAGCGATTTGGAATCACTTTGTAGTCGAAAACCAGATCATGGAGCAAGGGTAATAAAAACTAAAATGTTCGTAATCATATGTCAAAAAAAGGTTGATTATCTGATTCAGACCCAAGTCTGGAATAAACCGTATGAAATCGTTTAAAAACGTATTATTATTCTAACCTGCCTAAAACCTGAATGACACTAGGAACTTCGATTGTTTCTCTGCCATAACAACAGGTTGTAGTTCGCGCGAAACAAAAGGACCTTTCAATATTTGTAGGAACTACCAGTTCGTCAGCGCTCGAAAATACAAGCGTGTCGAGCAGGAATTTGAAGGAAAGCGACATGTGAAAGGATTCTTTATGTTATATAGAAGGACTGTAAAGATTTTATGATAGGTAAGTCGGATTTGTATTATGAATTATACGAATGTTTTATAAAGTCTTCAGTGTCGACGTCTGGCTGAAAAATAGCTGGAAGTTCATTGTAATTTAGATGAAATTATATTTGCATCAGCTATGTGGAGAGCCTATATAAACACACGCACTACAAACATAATTCTAATTTGAACGAAGAAACCTTGAACTTTACAATTAACTAACAAGCCGGTTAGTCTAACGGACGGGCAGTTTGAATTTTCGGTTCGCGAATATTTGTCTAAATTATATATTGGTCAAATTTTGAACGGCGCGCATTTGATAGTATAGAACTAAGTCTAAGTATTAAACCGGGTCTGGCGTCTAATAATAGGAGCAATTGTTTAATAATAATTTAGGTAAATTAAAACTGTGTATAAGCAATTATTTGAATAATATTAAGTATACTTGCAAGAAATTCTTATTCGTATTGAATATAAACATAGAATGACTATAACGAGCTGGTTGCTTTTTGCTCAGTTGACTGTGTATCAACTAGTTTACGATTTACTGACGATATTCCGAGCAAAGTTCTTCCAAAGGGATTTTTTACATGTTTTGAGATAAATTCACCATAAGCGAGAATATCTAGCAGTTATCACAATTGTTAACGAGTTTGTTCGGCCCAGTTTGGCCCCCAAGCGATTCAAACTACGTCTCACATCACGACTCTAACCTTTTCTAATCAATTCGATTATACTTCAAGTTAGCCACACAAAGAATGAAGACGGTTGCCAGGCAGGGATTGCTGTTAGTCCTGTTTCTACTAGCTACTTCGCACTCACTGAAAATCCCAGATTTTATGGAAGATGAACTATTCGATCCATCTGATATAAAATATAACACAGACAAGGCTGGAGATGGCGATGACGAAATGCCGGACGACACGTCGGCGAGCGCTGAGGAAGACGCGGAGATGATGGAAACCGTTGATTCCTCGAACGTAAGACATGCAAAATCTTTTCCTGTATTTTTTCTCTAGCTGAAAGAGCTAAATATTTCCTCTTTCCTATTCCCACCTAAGAGTAGAGTAGAAAGAGAGCGCCTTTCGAGAGGAGAAAGGTGAATTATAGAAGGGCATGAGGGTTTTGTAGAAGAGCAATATGATAGGGAATAGGTTCCGACCATGCATAGTACGTTGTACAACAAATGAAGTCTTCCGATGGCCCCTTGCATGCTTGCATTGCATCTACTCGCATGCGAAGAGGTTTAGACAGATCCGATCAAGACAAATAAACCAAATAAACCCGTCTCAGGGTGATGCAACTAATGCGAATGCATCAGTCAAAATTGCACAACCAAACAAAATGACGACCTTAGAAGTTCGAATATCAGTATATGGTATATTCCATCATGGTAAGGTCGAATATACCGTCATATGGTATATTCGACCTTGGTAAGGTTGAATACCAATATTCCGGTCTTAGTAAGGTCGAATGTACTGGATTATGATATATTCGACCTTGAAAAAGTCAAATGGTTCAAACTATTGCATGATTTAAATCGTTTTTGTGCAGTAGTTTTTCCGTCAAATTCGGATTCTCAGTACTTCTAGGATCACAATGGTTTTTTCATTTACATATTTTTTATTTGTATTTAATAGCACGATGAAGACGATGGCATGGACGATGAAGGGAAAGATAAAAAGACTGTCAGTAAATCAAAAATACAGCACAACTCAAGCAAGAGCAAAGCAGAGAGCAAAGAGAACGATAAAATGGAAGACGAAGAAGATGGCAATGAAGACAAGGAAGAGGATGTTCCAGAAGATAAAGGCGAGGCAGTTGAAGAAAAGAAGGACGGAAAGGAAGACGATGAAGAGAATAAGAATGATGAAGGAAAAGAAAGCTCGAATGAAGTTCCTCTCACAAAAAAAGAGGACGATAGCAGCAAGCAAGTTGCAAAAGCAGCAGTGATGGAAGAGTCGAAAGAAAAAATTGAGGAAACAGACAAAGATGAAATCGAAAATCAAACCAACGATTCCCCTAAAGCTAAGGTAAAGAAAAATGACTAAATTAACAGTAATTAACCCGAATGAACTTTTTTAGACGAGTAAGGAAAGCTCAAGACAATCCGTACAAATGAAGCCAGCTAATTATATTATATATATACGATTATATTTTGATCAGCTAGCGTAACCAAAGTTTCTCAAACGTTTCGTATGTATTACAGAAAACGCCTTCTAGTGATGAAGAAAAGGACACTAATCCTAGCGAGACTGGAATTGAAAAGGATGATGACAGCAAGACCTCGGAGGGAACAAACGGCAAGGGAAAAGCTAATGCAAATGGTGAGATAGATCAGAATGCTGTCCAAGAAGAGTCTAAGTCGAATGACAACAATAAAAAAGAGGAGAAGGACATCAAAACTGCCGATGACAAGGCTGACGAAGGAACAAGAAATGAACCAATTAAGACAACCAATGAAAACACGGTTGGAGAAGACAGTAAAACTCCACCACCGGCTTCCCCAACTACGCCAACAAATAATCACAGTGACGATAAAATAGAGCCCGTTAAAAGTAGCGACGATAAAATTGGAGAAAACGAGAAAGTGGAACCAACATTAGCCGGTGAGAACTCCGCAAAAGTAGAAACAGGACAGTTAAAACGAACGGAAGAAGATAGTACCGGAAAAGGAAACACAAAACAAGACGACAGCGACAACAACGACGACAATAAAAACAACAACAATAAAAATAATGATAACGAAAACAAAAGCGAAAACAAAAACAAGAAGGACAGTGACAGCAACGATACTAACAAAGACAAATTTCAGACTGATCAAAAGGATGAAAAGATAGACACAGACAAACCAGAGATACAAACTGATTATAAGACGTTAAAAGACGGAACTAATGACGACAAAACGACTGAAGAGCTTGACAACGATACCAAAGAACTCCAAAGTCCGAAAACAGAGACATCTACAGAAAGCAAAGTTGCTAATACGCCAGAAACTACAAAAAGCGACAGCGAAAGCGACCAACTCGAAAATAACGATGACAAAAATGACAAAACGCAAAACAAAGATGAGCTGCAACAAGCAACAAACGATAAGACTGACAACAAAGACACGCTAGGAGAGGCTGAAAAACCAATTGCAAAGCATCAGAACAATGAAGACTCCAACCAACTACAACAAACAGCAAGCAACGACAATGACAAGAACGGTAACTCTAAAGAAAAACAAAACACAGAAAGTTCTAAAACGTCTGAAAAAGACTTAGACAGCAACAAACCAAGTATTGAGAAATCACCAAGTTATCCGAGCCCAAAGAACGACAATGGCACTCCTGATAATGTTAAAGAAAGTGACTTCAGCTCAGACATAGAGAAAGGTAATGATTATATTTTATTAACGTACTTAACGTTGCCCTTCCTATATATTTATTATCATGCTGATTATATTTGTAATCTCAGTGAAAGAGGCAAAAGGGTTTGCCAAATTTAAAATGATTTCTGCAAGTCTGGATGAATTAGGTAACGGTAATGGAAACGGAGGTCATGAAAGAGTTCTCTCTTGCATTTATTGCACACAACCATCATAAGGCAAGGACATTATTTCTTAGGGATCTTTGCTAATCGGGGAATAAACAGCCTAATTCGATCATTTTTGTAGCAAAAAGCAAACAGGAGTCAGGTGCAGTTGGTTTTGATGATTCGGAGTCAAATTTGAAAAAAGATAACGATGAACAAAACAAAGAAACGTCGCCGAAATCTGATAATTTGGGGAAAGATGTTCAGAAAATTCAGGATGAAAATCAAAAAGAAGACGAACCGGCTTCAAAATCGGACAAGGACATTCAACAGAAAGTAGAGCAGCTCATCATAAACACTGGTGATGAAAGCCAAGAGGAAGCTGGAAAGCTTGTACAAACTGCATCAAAAGATGAAGGAACCGTTAAATCTCCCGGAAAGGTTACTTCGACTGACGATAACGACGCAGAAACAAAAGAATCTAGCGATGTTTCAGAAAAATCCGAAGGGAATAATGAGAAAACTAATGAAGATAAGGAGAGGACGACTGAAAAAGTTCAAGACGATAATTCGGAAGATAAGGCGGATGTTGTGAATACTCTCGTGGAAAGTGTTTCTGGCAATGGGAACGCCAGGGGTGCGAGTGCGAATGAAATCAAAGATCAAAACAATGCAGCTTATAACATACAACAGGCTTTGGAAAATCAACGTCAGAAGCCTAGCGCAGAAGGTAATGATATCCAAATAGTGGCCTTCATCACAGTCTCGTTTGGGGTTTCCAGAAAAAGTCTAAAAATAATTGGTTACTTTTGACAATAGTGATACAAAAATTTAAGGGTATTGCTAGAAAGCTGAATAATCCCTCTTTCTTGCTAGATAAATTGAACTATTGAACTCGATGTTTAATGCTTTGCACGAGTTTTTAAAGTGATTTCGTATTCTTGAGATACTCTATAGGAGCTTATCAGTACGAACTAGTTTCTGCTCTTTTATGTGGCATGAATACGAGAGGCCAATATATTGGTGTAGCACACGCATGACCATTTAATTTTGTTCCTCGCACAAAATTAAGTGCTCCTCAACAGAGATATACCACTCCATGACTCCAAATATCAGATAGCAATTTGTCTGGAAAAGTTATTCTTTCTTTTTCAAGGCAAGAAAAGCAACCTTCAAGGCCTGTTGAACGACCTCGTTCCGTCAGGAGTCTTGCCAAACCTGCCTGAAGGTTTTACAAAACTATCAGAGATGAGCACGGTCAGCTTTACTTACAATGTTCATGAAAACAATGACGTCACCGTGACGTCGGATATCAAGGAACCAATGAGATTGTTTGATGGTAAACTGGAGATAAGCAGTGGAAATTTGGAATTCAGCTATAACGACAAGGAACACGGAGGGCAGAAATGGCAGTTCAAAGCTCAAGGTAGGAAATCACTTTGATGATGGTAGAAATCGTTTTGGTATTAACGGTTTTGCTTTTGCGTTGATGAACGTGTTTAACATGTGATTTTACCTTTGCCAATGTTTACTTTTAAAGGAACTTGGGTGAATGGCGAACAGGTAATTGACGTGGTTTTGGAAAGTTCAAAACATGAAGATCACTTCACGTTGACGGGAAGGGGAGATTCACTGGCATTACACGACTATTCCTCGATATTCGCCGAACAAAAAACCTTTATTAAATCTGATATGAACATGCACATTTTCGAGGAAATTATGCTGTCGAATATTGAGTTGTACGTCGTGTTCAAAGATTTCGACAATATCGTCTCCCTGGTGTCAGGAGACGTGAGAATCGAGAGTGGAGGCCAGGCGTCTCGGTGTCAAGCGTTCATCGAAAAGTTCCCGAGGAAGAAACCAGTGTTCTCAATATTGTTAGACTTCGTAGAGGGTTCGCCGCACTCCGTACTGACTTCGTTGATGGCCGACACGATTGCGGATATCCCGTATGTGAAGGATTTGTTGAACAACAAGGGTCTTTTTAAGGTATGTAGGCTGACCCTCCATTTGCACGGGGATCACTATTCTAAAAGAAAGGCTCTAATTTCTTAAGCTTGATTCAGTAAATTTTTTTTCGAAGGTGGCCAACGGTGGATTTGGATTTGCTGCTTCGTCAGGGGACGTCAAGAAACTGAGATTGAACGTTTTTGGAGAAGGAATGCTCGAGAGAGAATTAGGTTCACATATTTCCTCTGGAGTTACGCTAACATTACCGGTGGAATTTCATACCCAGAACAGCATCGTAAATCACGATACGATTATAAAAATCTCGCCAGACACTATCGGCTATTTCCCGACGAAGGGCTCGGTCCTAGACTTGAATACCATTTTCAAAACGCTGTCTGAGTTCACGAGACCAAAAATAACAGGGCTAGGATACCCGGATGTTGGTAATGTCTTGTTAAGGGAGCTCCGATACGACTTGAGCAAATCAGTGTATACTGTGTTGGGATATGCCAGCTCTCAGTTCAATATAGCACCAGGGATGTTATATTTGGATAACGCGAATCTTGAGTTTAGGCAACAAGTCCCAGATGAGTTTGCTACATTGACTTTGTATGGTACTGGCAGCACAAAAGTAGGACAAAGCAAGTTTGACCTTTCCATACGTACAAACATAGCCGCCAACGAATTGCTAATCGAGGGTCATACACATACGCTCTGGTCACCGGATATTTCAACGGCATTTGGCGTTGCCGTGGAAATCGGAGATGACGCGAGACGGATTCTGGACGACAACCGAATGTTAAATATGAATATTGAAAATACCCGTGTGTTTGCAACCGTGAAGGATGGTCGTAGTGGGCTGGTGCACTTTTCCGGGTCCACACAGCCAGTCTCTTGGAACGACGCGATTAATGTTGAGGTCGTTGTCTTCCATGATAATCAAGAAAATAAAAGGAGAATAACCATAGGTTACTTGTTCAATAAACTGCCTTTGACATACGCCATCGACGCATTTAGTTTTGGCCAGTTCCCCACACCCAGACTGCTCGACAATAGCCGTAACATCTCGTTAGTCTTGTCTCCTGTCAACACCGAGTCCCTCTTTGTGAATCCAAGTTTCAATGGCTTATCGTTCATGCGAGGGCTGTCATTGATCGGCCAGTTTAGGCTGCCCGACGTGTGTAGTTTGAACATCCTTTGTGAATCGGCCGCGCAGTTGTTGGGGACGGAGAAATGGTACCAAGTCCAAGGTCTCGTTTCGTCACGTGGGTATACGCTTTCTGGATACGTTGACAAGGATTTCAATTTGGCGAAGGACTTGAAACTTACTGATAACATCTTACAGTTCAACCTTGGGAATTATAGTTATATGAGCATATCAACAAATATGCGTTTGGAGAAGAACAACCTGACTTTTAGCGGATATGTTAATTTTGACCCGAATGGCGTCAGATTGCGCATGAGTAGTGACGACGTATGGAGACATCCATTCCCTGGGGAGTTCCTCACTTTTGATCGACTGCAGGTCGACGTCCCATTGCTCAGCGGTGTGGCAATAGACGAAATTCTGGTAACTGGACTGCTAAACTTTGGCCTGAGTGGTAGTCTTTATCGTATCTATGCACCGGCTTACTTGACTTTCACTCCATCAAACCCAAAAGATGTTGGTTTCCAAGCAACAATGACGAATATTACCGTGGAGACCATAACCAGTGCGCTGAATTTCAAGTCCAGCCTGCCCGGAGTGTTGATTAAATCTCGTTTCCCGAGCTCCATCGTTGCAAGGTATGTATCAATGCATGACCTTAAAACGCAACGTCTCGTAAAATTTCTGTATGAACGACGTTGATCTGGGTCGAACTGTCTTGAAAAGTTGAACTTAGTCCTATTACATGAGTCTAATGTGTTTTATATGACAGTGGAGAAATGATTATACATAGCTTCATTGTAACAATAATTTTAGCAGGAAGCATTTTTGGATCAGAGAAGCACTTTAAAAACACAGAAATGCAAATAACCAAACCCGAGAGGCAAATTTTCTAAATTGAAACTTATGTTTGCGTAAATTCAGTACTAGTACAGAAACAATCTAAAACAATAAATCATTCTCCTTAAAAGTCATAGGTTCGCTACGAAAAAGGGTAAAACAACGTTCAAACAAAACGAGCTGATAACCAACTTCTAATAATCGCCTTTCAACTCTAGGTACACACCCAAGAAAAAGAAGGACAAAAATATAGATCTTTATGGAAAACTGGACATTCTATCTCGAACTGTTGTCTGCAAATTGCGCATTGACGAGAAGAAACAGATAACCGCAACTACATCACATTCGAAGTTCCCGCTGATCTTAGACGACGGGCTCATTACGGTGTACGCAGACCAGCACCGAACGCGGCTCGGTCCCCGCGCGTGGTTCAAGATCACGCCAGAGAACACGAAGTTTAAACTTGATGGGTTCACGAGTTTCATGGGGCTTGGAGCCCAGACAGAGATTGACGTGTCGGAGTCTGGAACCGAGTTCACTCTAAATGGTAATCTCTTTGGTGTGACGAAGACAGTTGTTTCGTTTATGTCTCCGGATAGCCTCCCGGAAAATGGTCCCTATCTTGTAAGTTCAGATAGTCAGTTATTGATAGCTCCCTAGGTGTATATAGCCGATATGGAGATGAAGTTTATAGGCCGAGTTTATAGGATTTGGTTATATAATAGTTTGCCTTTTCCATATATAGGCATCGGCGTGCCTACCTGACATAATCCCACAAGTGACATCACACGTCGGCCTCTTACTGGCCTCAGCCGCCGACCAAGCCGAACGCTATATGAAACAGGCAACGACTAACTACGACCAAGCCACGGCGTATCACGAGCAAGCTCTTGCAGACGAACACAAGCAAATAATGATGTTGGACGAAGGAGAGAACGATATTGAGTCAGATGATCGAGAGATGTTCTTTGCGGAAGAGAAATATAACAAAACATGCAGAGAACAACAGTGTGGAAAAAGTACGTTAAAATATCAGATTAATCTATTCCAGCCTAATATTTTCTCCATCTATACATCCATATGAGTAAACCTATAGTATTGGACATTTAGTTGTTTAGTTCTCCGTCGACTGTCGCCATATTCCTATTCCAAATTTAATGTCCAAACTGGCCAAGGTTCAGTCAAATTATAATGAAGGAAGCATGACCAGCCGCTTTCCTGGCCTAATTTATTTGTTCCACTTGATGCGTTATCCATATTAAGCTCTTCCTTGGAATTCCTTTTGTCTCATCACGATAAAGGTCAAAATGACTTTGAATGAGAGTCATGCTATTTTAATAACAAAAATCAATCCAAGGAAACTTCTTAAGGGTCTACTAGCCTCGGTCACTTTCCCATTGATGTACCTAAACCTTCCTATAGCAGTTCCCACTGACAAGTCCCCAGAGATCCGAGGCTGAGCTACAATTTAAATTACAATTTAAAGTGCATATTACGTGCTCTACTCTCAGGGGTAATTCACCGAACACTCATTTCATCTTCTAGCTTGCATTGGCTGCACGTCGTGGCTGAAGTGCTGTGATCACGATGTGTTTGGTAACTGCGTCAAATGTCCGGGTTGGAAGCCGTGCTGTTGGCGAGGCATGAGCCCGATATGCAAAGCGAAGAACCACGCATGTCGCATTATGAAGAAAGTTGCCGCTGAAAATCTTCAAACGATAGCGGTGAGAAAAATATTTTGATTTATAGTCAGAAAAATTATGATCAATCCTGATATCACATCTCCAAAATGCCTGGTCTGAATTATAGGAATGTATAGCCTAGTCTTGTCATTTGCATTTTTGCCCACATTTTCTGAAATAGTCCGGATATAGCAGAAGGTTTTTGACAGAACCCCACGGCATGAAAAACATGTGAGATTTTTAAGGGAAAGGGAAAATAGCGGGAGCATGTAACCAGACAGATTAAGAAACCGAAGCAGAATATTCACCGTGGCACACCTCAAATTTCTAATCGTTTATATGAGATACCATCTTTAATTCGTAAAATATCCTCGTACCATTACAGAGACGTGTGTATGCAGAGAAGGAAAAGAAGAGAGCCCGTGAAAAGATTCTTTGGAAATCCGAATTCATGAAAGGAAAAACCCAAGCCGTTTTGGATGCAGCACGTCGCGCGCTGCATCTGGTTAACCATGACTCCAGAGTCGGTCTGGGAGCTGCTGCCTCTATCAAAAGATTTGGATTGGAACGCTTGGTCAATATAAGGAGTATATGCTTCCATACCACGCTCAAAACGCTGGCTACGAGCTGCGTGACGATGAGAATCAACACTTCCTTTGCCAACAAAGATGAAATGCAAAGCATACCATATTATGGGTGCCTGAACAGAGAGCTTGTACCCAAATTGGCCAACCACATCGCTCACTTCATGTTCCACGACAAAAAGAAGGACGAAGGTAAGCGAGTAGCAAGTTTATGTTTACAAAGGTAGGAACCATCGAAAAGGTAAAAAGGCAAAGGATTACTTTTCAGCAGAAAAGCTCGTCGGCTATAGAAATTCTTCATACGCCGCCTAACTACGGAATATTATAAGTGACAATGAAACAATACGGAATTCGTGATGACTCTTTTATTCACTCCATTTATTTTTTTTAATCAATGCTATAACTGGAAACATGAAATTCAGTGTTGCACAAGTTTGGTTTGTACACGTAAAGAAAAGCACATGAGAAAGAGTGGCCCATGCATCAGTGTGTTGTATTCAACTGAGGTGTTGTGCTTTGGTGTAAAGATATGGCCAAGTTTCAATGTTATCGAAAATATTAGGGGAAAATTGACAGCAAATTAGTGGCCAATATGGATTTTTGAGATTGACAACGCCTATTTTGTTTTTTGCTCGACTATTCTTTGCGACGTCATGTTATTTACATGCATGTTGTGGACAGTGAAAAAATACTAAACTGCGACGTATAGCAGACTAATTGTAGACTACCAGGTTATTACCTGGAACTTAGCTGGTATAACTAAAAGAAAACAAAAAAGAGAAGTAGTAATGTAGGTGAGACTTCCACTTCATACTACCCTGAAATCCTCATTTCAAAACAGGTCCTTCGAAAGAGAGAGTGACTAACAAGCCCAGACCAGGTCATCGTAGAAGTGGTCAACTCTTTGGAAAACCTTTGGAGGACGATGAACAGGTAGACTTGACCACGTTATCACCTGTAAACACATTCATGAGAAGACGACGAGATTATGATTTGGAGGAGGAAGATGAGGAAAATCGACCCTTCTGGTTGATCCGAAATAACTATCAAACTCATGCTCCATCTTTGCTTCAACAACGCACCACTGTGCCCAGAACCCCTCTCAAGAAGAAATGGCAAATACCAGGTAGAAAATATTATGAATAATTTGAGGCATGCTGTTGTATTTTTATTTTACGTTGGCTTGACGCCTGATGTCAATAATAGGCATAATACATTTGGCATTTCTGCTGAAAAATTAGCTATCTTACAAAGTTTCTTCGTCATCAGTGACCGACTTTAACATAAAGCCGACTCTCAATGACCGATGAGAATCGGGCTTTAAAATAACGAAGCCGGACACGAATTTATGATTTGACACAAGGAAGATACTTCTTTACTTCTACAGCGACAAGAAAGGGAAAATGTAAAGTGTACCGTCAGCTGGTGGAGATATGCAAAGATATGATGTCAACCGTCAAGAAAATGTCGGCGTCATATGATGACGGCAAGGACCAGTATTACAAGAGGTTGGCTGAACTTCAATTGGGAATAAACACCACAATATATGATCTTGAAAAACAAGGTAAATACACTCGCGATATGTAAAACAATATGACTTTCTAATATGAAAACCTGTCGCATTAGTAAGCGTGCTTGTATTGAGATGCTTGTTTGATTTGAACAAAAATTGAACGAGAAATCTAGGAGTTCGTTTGGCTTTCTTCCCAAAGTGACAATAAAAAATCAGGTTATAGTTTCTGCTTCAATACACGAGTTTTACGGAAAGACACAGTTTCTGAGTGAGGTCTCTACGATTTAAACTGAAAGTTAATTATCCTAATGGTGAAATACAAATATGATTATTGGGATTAATCACAATAACTTCTTACTGCCCACTGAGTGTTAGAATTGAACGCTAACTTCTTTAACTGAATTACCTAGCTTTCATTATAGCAAATATGAAAAGCAGCATATCTATCCTTATTTTCATCATTCGATGAAATTTTAACATAATTTGTAAAAGACTACAACTGCAATTATACCCTTGTCCAAATGTCAATTTATTTCAGTCATGGACACTCCGGAACTGCGAGATCGCCTGGCAGACATTGAGATGAACATTCGAACGGTTGGCGCAGGTACGATAGGGGCAAGTAATTAATATACGATATCCTAGACATATTTTAAAATACTAATAGGTCTTCCACTTAAGTCTCGAGCCTCTACAAAGACGACTAAAATCGTCTTCTTCCTGTTCATTTTCTCCTCATATTACAGTAACTACAGCAAAAACCCTTCAGCTCAGGTGAATTTTCAATATCGCCATGCAATAACACTCAAACATGGTCTGTTTTGTCGACTCAAACGAACGCCTGCACACTACGGCTCTACGATTATCTTAAATAACAAAATAATTACTTACGAATATCGTTGTTTGTGATGAGTATCCCTCTCTTCTTGTTAACTTCCTGTATACAATTCGATGGAAACCAGTATTAATATAAAACCTCCACTTGTTTAGCGACGGTTTGTGTGTTATTGTAGAAAACAACGGATATTTTCAATTGAAGAAGCTCCGAACGACACGTAGTTTTGCTGCTAGTCACAACTTTAAACCGTTTGATATTGACTGGGCAATTTGCCATAAAACAAGTGTTTCCTTGAGCAAAATTTGTAAAATGAAACATCCGAAGTTTTCTATTTTGCACGGTTCAAATTTAGGCAGGCGACAAACGCATAATTTAGGTTAATGTCTAAACGAAAGCAATCAACGGTAATTACTTTGTACTTATGTACAATTCTAACGAGATGGTTAAGCCTGGTTCATAGAAGTGCCAAACATCGACGGTGATCCATTGGAAGGCTTAAAATTTCCCGACATATACAAGGCCTCTCCTATATTAAACAATTGACTAAAATAGTAGAGCTTTTGAAAAACCAGAAAAGAACAAGGAAACAGGAAACTCATTTTCCTGAAAGGTGATTCCTACTCGGGAGAATTATCACCTACAGAATCAATCGTAGTTTCTTTTGTCTCTGCGTCCTCAACCAAAACTAATAGCCCTAAAAATTTTCACTTTAAAGCTGCGTTCACACGGTAACGCGGACCGCTCGTCACGACATCTTCGTGAGTCCGGTTAAGAAGCAACGATTATTAGCAAACGCTTATTTATTTAATAGGTTTGGTATGTCTGAGGTTTGCTATGAATAAATATTCAGGGCTCAGACATTCAAAAACGCCACTGGCACTATATTTTATTAACATCAAAATTTGACCTGCTCCGATAGCAATCCGTTACCGTGTGAACGTGCCTTCATTTTAATGCTTGCCTGTTTTCGCATGCCTGCCGCATTTATCTCACGGGCCCGGTTTTCGGAGCACCCTGCAGAGTCCATTCAGACAAAATTTTGTACTGAAAAAAACTTGTGCAGATATAAGTTACCTGTTTACATGACTCCAAATCATATGAATTTTTGACCATGTATGGGTTTCCATTCGCGTGAAATTTCAAACATCAAGCGTAAGGCAAATATATTTACCTGCAAAAATTATGGGCATGGTTAAACCAATGTTTTGTGAAGACTGGAATGACATATTTCAAACATTTTTCATTTGAAGCTAAATTGAGGACAAGTATTACTGACAACCATGTAGTCTCTTTTACGCGTGTTTCCAATTCATCGTAAGTGTCGTGAACATGTCAAGGTGACTGATGTGATAGAATATTTCTATGTGTGTGCAGACAACAATGACCGATTTGAATGGATCAGAAATAAATACAAATTTTCATCCGACTATTTCTCATCGGTGAAAATGATTTGTTCACAACAATTACGACTAACGATGGCGTCCAAATTATCATTCCACTTCACACAAAGTTAACTGGTAAATGTCTAACACGGAAACGAGGCCACGCAGAATGTCAAAACTTTCCAGATGTTCCGTCATGGGTATAATTTTCATGTTAATATTCTTGAGCCGCCCGTCGCAACCTATTGAAAAGAACCGCTTTAGTTTATTCCCAAAATCATTCGTTTTGGCCAAAACAAAGCCCCCAACCTTTTCCAACAACAGTTTTTGTTTTCTCGAAGGCGTTTCACAGTGGAGGATGAACTGCGAGGCAGATCAAGAAGACCAGAACAAAATAGCCATACAAGAATGGGTTTCAACGATGGAGGGAAGAATAAGAAAACTTGGTGGACAAGGCGTCGATAGATTCCTCTCGAATCTCTTCCGAGCATTTGAAGGGATGTTTCTCGGGGCAGACACACCCAAGCATAGCGCACAGAAAGTACTCAGCACCTTACAAGCAATACGAGAAATATCTGCGGTAAGTGTTTCTTCTACGAGGCCAGGGAAGATGAGCAGGGGTAATCTATTTGGTTCTCATGATAAATTTAAACATCATCAAGCGACTTGTCGTAGGTCGGAGCGAAGAGTGAACTACGGCTGTGTTCATTCGTTAAATTCAAGACGAATTCAGTCTTAACTATATAGAGAGAATGAAAAATGTCGGGGACCAGAGTATATTACAAACAAAAGTTTCGTTTACAAGTAACAAGCATATCTTTTATCCTTTTTAGACATTCCATGACATCTTCGGGAACAATGAGATCACCTTGGAGAAAGCAAAAAGTCGAGCAGAAATTGTAATGACGAAATTAAAACAGATCAAGGACGCACAGATATTTTGCGATGACTAAATAATGGCCGCCATAACATTTTTGTAAGATATAAGCATGATCAATCATCAGCCGCACTTCCTTGGAACAAAAGCAACTAGCAAGTTATTCAAAAACTTTTAGGAGAGAAACTTTTAAAAGTGCCACAACTGGAAGGTGTCCAATTCCCTTTCAGGATCGTACATTACTAATAAAGGAATAAAGAGTATTGCAATTCAGCCACTGTGCAAAGGGGAAGCTTATCGAGTAATCTGGCGAAGCCAACTTAATCTAATATTATGTTCATATGTACGAGTTCAAAAATGATAAACCTAAATATATTTTGTTATTTCATATTTTGTCACGCTACTATATTAAGAAAACAGTTTGGACGCTTCGCGGATTATATTTTTGCTATATTTCAATGTTTTGCAACGAAACGAAAGGATGCTTACGTTTTCCTATTTTCGTAGCTCAAAACGTCGTCTAATATGCAATCCGTCCTGATGTTGCAAGTTGCAACGACCTAGCAGCACACAAATGAATACCACAAATATTTAATTAAAAAAATCTTTTAAAATTTAATTCATTATAGCTATGTTTACTTCACTAAATATTTAAAACAGTTACTTTTGAATTACTCTAATTAGTTGTTTAAAATCAATGCCAAGACAATGGCAATTTGTAGTCGTAATTATATACACTCAATGCTGGTTGAATGGAGGTGATATGTTCTAAAAAATGGTTATTTCCAGTCGATTGTACAAGTGTTTCATGAGATTTCTCCCACGGCATGCATGCATATTTAGTGGTAAATATCTAGGACCGGTTGTACGAAAGCTGGATAGCTCTATCAAGCGGATATTTTATTCAATCGCTCTAAAATTGCCTATTTTTTAATATGACCTGAATTATACCAGGTACATGCACTTAATTCGGTGGATAGCGCTATTTAGCTATGGTACAACTGGCCTTTGTACTTCAAGGAGCAACGTTCAAATCCCCACGCCGTTTTTTTTTTTGCATTAAAACTTGACAGAAATCGAAACTATGATTTAACGAAACATTCCTCAAGATATTCTGCAGATTCTAAAAATTATTTTAAAGTTCGCAATCATATTCATAACAGTTTGTAAATTTGACACTTGATTGGCCACCTCTGTCTTGGTTCTTGGCCAATCAGAGAGTTTAAAATACCTGCTTATGAATTCATCACAAACTTTTCAACACGTTTGAAAACGCTTAATTTGTGAAATTGACTGTAACACGGGCCAAATGCGTTCTGTTGTAAGCGGCGGAGAAACTGGTTAAAAATTCTAAAAAATCCCAAGTAACAACTTCCATTTCGACAATCGATCTGTTGTACCTGCATTCATAACAAAACATTTGCACTCATGGACCTCATTAAACGTCTATACGCTTTTGACCACTGATATAACGTACATGATAGACTGGAAACAGCTCATCTCCCAAATTATTCGAGAAAAACCATTGGAGGAAAAGGCTACTGCCCCTCCCCCCCCCCGAATTGCTCCGCGGTCTTTAAACTATCACATACAAAAGAGGCTAGTGGGTCGAAAAAAGTGTATAGACAACATGGTCTGTGAGTGAAAAGTAAGTGTTTCATTATTTGAGTTCCTGGCTAATTGTATGCAAGCGTGGAATTTATTCCTGGTTTTAGAAGGCCCAGCGCAAATCATTAAAATCCGTCTAAATCCACGCTATTACAGCTCAGTCAAGCCGATTAGAGCAAACCGCGCGTTAGAATTCCTCCATCCTTGCTGCCAGCTAAACGAGATCTATGATTCCTGACAACTAGAAATGTGTAAATTTATTATTCCACTCGGATTCTGAATCGGTTTCCGACATATTGTAATTGTCATTTTTTAGCGCTGAGTCGATGCTAGCGCTTGACGCGGAATGTTTCATGTTATTCCTCCCTCGGTCAGGGGACTTGGGCACTCTCCGTCTCGTCCCGAACGTTTCGGTGGGGGTACCGGGGACACTGAGGTACGAACCATTTTTACCTTCATCCTTACACGCCGTATCCGCAAAAGGCTCTTCGCAATCCATATGATCTTGTTTCACATCAGGTAAAGTGAAATACACTTTTAACTGTTGAGAAAAGATAATTGATTTATTTAGTTTCCTTTGCCAAAACACGCAACATAAAATTACTCAGCACATATAAAATAATGCTTTTGAAAATTGAAATCGCTAATGTTAATCATTAATAACAGCGGCTATCTTAGCAAAGTACGTGTCAAACTATAAACAAATCTAACGACAGCACGATATTTGACAGGACAAATTGCGAGACAGGTTACAGAACTAAAAAATAGATTTTTGTAGGTAATTGGTAGTTTGTAGGAAGACTGCTTTTGGATTAAGGGCTGATGTTTTTTGAAGACACTGAAATGCATGCATTTTGGTAATTTGTTAGAAACTGCGGCTGCAACAGGGGTGATAAACCGAAGTTTAATTCACAATCTTATAAAATAGATCGCCCCGTTGTTACTTGAAGAATGAAGTAACTACCACAGCCCACACTGCAATCTCATTGCCTTAGTTTATATACCAGTGTACTCTATGTGAACGGAAACGATAACACGGTCGCCATCTTTAAAGCCAATTTGAAGCCGGTGCCAGTCCCTTTGTATTGTTTTTGTCTTTGTATTGTTATTGTCTACGATCACTTTCAACAAACAAATATACATATTGATTTTTTTATTTTTATTACATGGAAGAGCAGCTAGATACATCGAAAATATAAATATTACGTAGTTTACATGTATGATATAGAAAAATAATTATATGGTAATTAAAATATATATACACGGTACGAATAACTATTTCCTAAAACGTGAAGGTAATAGTAGTGTCTTGCCGGCAGAGTTAAACTTTCCAAATTCAAGAAAGCGATTGAATTAAATTGTGTACAAAGTTGTGTATATATCTATTGTATAAAATTATATGTATAGAACATATTTATAACGAGTTAGTGTAAAAAGGTTACATATCTTTTAAGTGCATTATGGTATATAGTGCATTAGGCATAGATCAGATATATGGTATTTATGTACATTTTACAATAATGCACCGCGAGCATCCAGCATTAATGACTGAAAAATAAGATATGAAACGCGATGTTTACACAAGGAATAAGAAAAATATAAACTTGAGTTTTATCCGTGCCTTTCGAAATACCTCAATTCGCCTATACTTAAATAATAAACGGCAATGCATTCGGGTAAAATGTACATCTAAATTGTCATAGCCTATTATTCTGCAACTTCCGACAGAATTTCGGATATATATATAGTGCTATTAATCAGAGTTTTGTATTTCGACAATTTCCTCATTGTAAAACATTTTAAGAACACAGCAAAATAAGTAAATTGTTGGGGGGAAATTGCGACGCCATCTTGAATTTTCCATTTTCTTGGTTTACATGCAACACAAGATGGCGTCGCGGACAAAAAACCGTCTCGGATGTTCCGAGTTTTATGAAGCTGGTAAGTTTTCGTGATGAATGGAAATTGTTTTGGGCCAACGGCGTCGTTGCATTGTCATTTTGCAAATTGAATTAAAAATTGCAGCGAAAGTTGTCCGCCTAACATAGTCATTTTTAAAACAATGCGTTCCTGAGTTTCATGAGAATTGGAGGATAATCTCGTTGGTAAATTTATTACTTGATGGCGTTATTTGTATATATTCCAAGCGTTCTGTATATTCGTCTTCGCCGAGTTTGTACACTATTTTTTATCTCGTTTAAAAACACACATCTAACATGCTAAATATACGTCTCTTTACGATAGTTCTTATTGCCAGCACCAGCCTCTTTCTCTTGCCCTTCGTTCTCCGAGTCCGTTTCTGAGAGGTTTTCATTTGAACTATCTACTGCTTCGTTGTTATTGGCCACGGGCATTTCGTCCAAGTGAATGGCGCAGTCGTACGAATAACGTTTCAAACATTTAGTCGCAGACACATCGTCGGAAGAGCTCGCTAAGTCTTCGCTTTGAACTCGTTTTCGCGACATTTCATCGGCTGAATCAGGGTTTAAAAACAACACTTTCACCTGAGGGATAGAGAGAGATATGGATGGATTGTACTTGTATTTCTTTTCTATTTTCGACTGTCGACGTTATAGAAGAAGTACTAATTAGGAAAGACGAACAACAGCAAGATTTCTTGACAAGTTTTCGTATGACAAGTTTTGAGAATTCGCTCACTTATAATAACCGCGTTAACTTGCGGATATTAACGAAGAACTTGTCGAAGAAAACTTTGACTGTCCATTTCCTGGCTTTTTAAAGCGTGGGTATAAGAGCACTCTTTGGTTAGTACGATTGATTACTGATTAGTCCACAGATCTGGATACATTACTGGATAGCGCAACTTATTGCTCGCCGATGCAGATAATGAAGCCAGTTCCACATTGCCATACAATTGAAATCGGCCATTATGAAAGTTGCCTATATTTTAATAAAAGCGACTTCAAACTGAGAACACTGGATTAAACTCCGGTTTAATACTTGAAAATATATTTCGAGCAGTAAATTTGGGCGATTTTATGCCAGAAATCGACGGTTTGTTCTACATTAATGGCAGATTTCCAGCTTCAATTTTACCAAATAACACGTAAATTATCCAGCGTTATGCCCCAAGTAGCGAATATACAATGCTAGTTAAGACTGGTTAGTAGTCACATTTCAGTCATTTTCCGTTATCTATGACAAGAATTGATGATGACTGATTATTTTTAAATGGATGAAAACTTGCGATATGTAGCAGACCTTATCTACATATCATGACTGAGCTGTGAGATGGACTGGAGTGAAGGGCGAAAAGGAATTACTTGCCAAACGTGTGTACATGACAAATCTGTTTCATTGCGTTTACAGCCACAATGAAGTCGATAGATTCAAAGTACAACGTACACATTTGTACGGAATCAAAGATAAATAACTAATAATTTTAGGGATGAATGGGTGAATGTATGTTGGTTACCCATATTAGCCACAACAACGCGAATAACAAGTGATACAGGAGCTGAAATCGCGATTCTCGTCACGAGTTTAATGATAAACTGACATCACATCATGTCCACTGAAGGGATCTACTGTTGTTCATCTGCTACATCAGACATGAAAGGATTCGTTCAGTTTGCTACATATATGAAATTTCTCTCTCTATCGGCTCAGACGGAGTGTTACCTCATGAAACCAAAATGAAATGCTGTAAATGATGCTCGACTCAGAGACGGAGTGTTACCTCATGAAACCAAAATGAAATGCTGTAAATGACGCGAAAACAAATCTTGTGCATCCCAAACATTCCGCCATATTGCAAAAACAAACCGTCGCTGGACATCGTTGTGCAAATTAAACGTGGTGAACGATGCGTAAACAAAGTTTTGTTCACATTTTGAACAGCCATATTTCTTAAAACATCATGTACATACTGTTAAATATTACTTGTGTTCGCTAGAAAGTACTTCCAAACGAATACGAGCTAGTTGCACATATACAAAGCATGCAAAATTTTGGCAACTTTTAAATCAAGTAACCTTTCTTTGATGTGAACAGAACCGCCGTTCGTTTTCCATTTCAAAAAGACTGGAGCGAACGAAAGTGCTCTTATACCCATTTAAGCACCAATTGACCGTTAAAAATTAGACACAGTTGCAAAGTGGGGCTAGTGCGTGGACGATTTCCGAAGGCAAAGATTACATTAGTGCGAAACTTCACACAACATTGCCTCTGAGAAAGCTTCGATGAAACAAAAATCATTTCTATATAATCGATATAGATAAACCTAAATCGCGCGTCAAGTAAAGCAACGAATTGAGTACCAACCACCAAGATGGCGGCTTTTTTAATTTTGTACACTTTTACCGGACAATAGATACCGGATAGATCAGTGACTGCATCTAGTTAATTAGAGCACTGAATCAAAAGTGCCAATATGGTAGCGAGTGCCTTCGTAGTGCACAACTTAAGTGCGCGATCTAGGTTTATTTGTATTGCATATCGATGTTATCCGTTGATAAAAAATACATATTCAATCGATATTGAAAAATGCACGAAAGAGTCAGTTAGAATAGAATTTAGAATCGAAAACTATTTTTAGGCTGGTTCATCTTTGCAAATTTTGCTTTGATTTCAAGTGCGACTTTCTTCCTTTGAGAAATGCAAAAGAGTGAATAGTTATATGAATGCTCTGTGTATATGTGCCCCTATTTGAACATCCGTAACTAATCCACTCGATCACATCCATCGAAAGAAGAAAACCGCGCCAAAGAAATATTCCAGGCAAATACTTAAAACTCAATATTTGGACAGATTTAAGTACAACAGCGTGAAGTGAAATACAAAAAAGTGAATATCCTTACTTTGAAATTCGGCGAATATATTTTATTTTTCTTATCCTTATTTGCCTTGTCCAGGTCCTCTTTATGCAATTCAAACCACGAAGTTGCGCCGTCCTCGCTCTGTTTTCTCCTGTCGAAACTGGATGTCTTCATTGTCGCTTCGCCTTCGCTCGGCGGCGGTGTTAGTCCAGATACGAAAAACGTATTGAACCAAAACTGGAACATAAGATCCTGAACAAAAACAAACGATTATAACAACAGATAACATGTATATACATATACATATACGGTATACTGTATGTTATCCTCATGTACTTATATGTACATATATGTACATAAGGATAACATGGTAACTCACTGCAATATCAGAGCAATATGAAACCAGACACACATGCTTCTGCATACAAGTAATAAATCTTATGCGTAATTTAAGTTACATGCATTCTGCTAATAGTAGCACAGGTGTTACTTTAGTACACTGTATGTCAACTTTCAGGACAATACCTTTTTACCAAATCGATCTTTGTTGAAAAACTGCACTTTAATGTCACCACAGACAGGAAGAGGTTGCGGGAGGTTGAAGCAAATGTTATCAGCACCCTTACTTGCACTCTGCAAACGATTCAAAAATAGTCAGCGCGAAAGATCCTTGCTTATGTAGATTAATACTTACAATAGTTGGAAATTATATGTGGATCCTTCAATTTTGTAATATGTAAAACGATAATGCATCGCTTGAAGCTTGGAGGGCGTTCGCTAGGTAATTCTAAGGAGGGGGTTTTGGGGCACACCCCCGCCCCTCAGATGTGATTTTTTTCATTTTGAAATATATTGCACTACCCAAACTAAAATCACTCTCCCACCCCCCTTGCCTTTTGTCAACCACATGGTAACTATAAATAATTGAAAAGGAAAAGTTCTCATATTGGGGTTTTTGTTTTTACTTGGGGAACCCAGAAGGCACCTTATTTAACATACTAATTTTTCTTCAATCTGGCTTACCTCTTGTGATTTTGATGAGTATATTTTGACTTTAGACTGCCACACATAAAAGAAAGGAGCTAAACAATAGAAGAAAAAAAGTCGAATTTGATCTAAAAACACACTTTGAGACTAAACTTCGAAATCTGAGACAGAAGCATTATTTCTTCATTTGAAACTTACCACAAGTGCCATTGTTAACACTAGGGACAGTTTCCATCTCAAAGCGCGTAACCAACAAAGTTGTTGGCGTGTACACCAGGCTGTGTTTTAAAAAGTGACCATAATAATGAACATATCTTCTTTGACTTGGAATCGTAACACCCTTCTTGTTTGATGTCCGGGCATCCGCGTAGTATTCCAGTGCTTCCTGGACACTGTTAAAATAGTTCTTGTGCAGTAAATAGGCACAGATCATAACACCAGTCCGACCCTGAAGTGCACAATAGAAAAAAAAATTGACATAGTTGCCCAATGGATTTAGGTACCTATTACCAATATAACATTATCACAAAAATCCAGACTCATACCAAATTTTATGGTAACAATCAAAATTATACAAGGCACATTAGTACATGACACAACCACAGTAAATTGAGAATTATAATGTACCATTTAATTTGTATGGTTGAAAGGTTTTAGTAACCGTTTTACACCACAATCATTGAAATATGGTTTATAATTGTATGTTGCATCACTCGCATGAAAACAAACCTTTCCAGCTTTACAATGAACAATTGCAACGTTACTTTCATCCCCAGTTAAAAATTCATTCATGTCTTCACAATATGGCTGCATCAGTTGAAACGGTGGAGCATTGTGGTCATCAAAAGGATAGTCTGCCACTTTGTAGAGAAAACAATGAAACAAATTCAAAACAAATTGTGCCCCGATGTTTCTTACTTTAATATTTACTCTATGTGATTTTACTTGTCAAGGGAATCTTGATCGGTCAACTAGCCAATAAGTCAATGTACATAGGTACTCAACACATTGAATCATATTACTGTATGTTCTTGTTGTTTGCGAAGCCAAAATTAAAGGATTTTGAAAGATGGGCAAGCGTAACAAAAACATTTGTTTTCATTCTTTTAGTCATGCACATGTCTGTCAGGGAGATCTCATTCGCTGAAACTTACCATTGTTTTTAAATTTGGCAGGATCATAGCGTCTCTCAGAACATCTGCAAAAATAATTGATGTTTAGAAATACAATTAAACATTGACCCATACACCAATTTATATATCATGACTTTGACCAAAATTTACTTACAAATTGTAAACTTTGTAATGGTCTTTGTGTTTTGTTTCTAAAAACCTATAAAATAGCATATCATTACAGACTTGATCAATCCAGGAAGTGAGGAGATATATAGCACTAAGTTGACACTTGACCATGTTTGGTTAGCCAGCCTCACTAATATTCGTGTACATGTACTATTTAAGACAAATGAAACTGAAACATACATTTTGAAATGTTACAGTAGAACTAAATATGGAATTACTGTACATGCTACACATATCCAAAAATATTAATAATTTCAGGTTATGGTATAAAATCATTCACACTTGGATTGCCATATAAATAGCTTAGATATGTGACGAACACTACCAGAAAAATACAAAGAAACTTTGGTGTTTGGAGACACAAGGAAACTTAAGGCAACTTAAGGCAATACAAAAGGCCAAGACTTGTTAGAATTGAAAGCAATTGGGCCCCAGGACAAATTGGTCAGCACAGGCTCCACATCCCCTCAAACCAATGAAGGGTGCACCAAAATACCTGCAGCAGAGATCTTTCATTTTTCACCCCTTACTTACTTCAAAATTTCATCAATATGATTTCGATACACTCCCTCTATTTTGTCAGATGGAAATCCCATTGCAACAATATTTGGCTTAATATCTTCATATGGAGTTAAGAAATCAAGGTTTTGAACAACAACTTCCCATGCCTTATTAAGTGATTTCACATATTAAATTGAATATGAAATTGGTACATAGTAAGACTGATTGCTCTGCACCAATGAATAGAATAATTTTGAGATGGAATATATGGCATATTAGCTAAAAATTGGAGAATAATAAAATTTTGCCAAGAACTTTTATTTACATAACAGTACTACACATAACCTTACACATATTATGTGTATAGATATTATAATGCATTTCCTGTGTATAAATATACAAATAATAAATTCTGATATTTAAGGGGGTACACAAATTTACCTCAATATCACCCTGCCTAAACAATTAGGGCTTTTTAAATTCATTTCAATTTTTGTAATTTACTTGCAGTTTATTTGTATATTCCAAGCATGTACTGATATTTCTCAGGGGTATACTGTGACTAATGACTCTAAATGCAAGTTGAATGCCTGCATTCCAAAAGCTCACTCGTAATTTAACCTACACATATTAAGTGGGAGATCTACATCATATAATAGACTTTTCAGCTTAGAAGATAACAAACATATATCCAATTGGCTCTCAACCAGAATCATTGATACTCCCAAAATCGTAAAGGGCAGAACTCAATATATAAGTACATTCTTAGTGTAGTTTTATTGCACAAAGTGCCACCCACTGCACCCACTGTTATTTGAGTGATATTTACTGTATACACAAAAGTGGCATAATCTTGCACTAGAATATAAAATAAGTTAATACTACATGTTTAGACAAATTAGGAGAGTGAAACTTTTTATACTTTCATTGGCATAAATTACATTTCCAAAATTCCCACTGCAATCACAAAAACTGTGTAATCCAGGCATTTGGGATCTAATGTAGTTTAAATATTACATATCAATGTGTCATAATGTGATCTAAAAATATCAATGCTGTGAGATTAAAAAACAAATTACTTTACAAATCCCACAACTTCATTTATCTGACCACATAGTTGTATACACAAAGCTCAAAAAACCAAAATCACACAAGCATAAAAAGCTTCAAAACCACACAACACTAAAACATTTCCTTATTAAGGAAGGATTATTATAACATTTAACCAAATTCCATATAGTTTATACAGCTTGTTGCAGAAATAATTTCCAAAAACATGCAATCAAACAAACTCAGCTTAATAAGTTATATTTTTAGTAAAGTTTTCATCGAATCTATAAATTCTTGTAGAACGATTTAGTACCACGGAATAAATTAGTCAAAAACTTTCATTAAAGTAATTAATCTCAATTATCAAACTCAAAACTCGTTGAAACTGTGAGAAATTAAAACAGATTAGTTTGATGCCTAAAATTACTGTTCACAAAACACGGGAGTTTGAGAATTTATGCCGAAGGTTTCCCGCTGCTAAGCATACGAATCTTTAGTCTTAGTTTTCACCAAAACCTGAACAGATTTGTGCTACAACTACACGGAAGTACAGAGGCCAGATATGTTGCAACTAGTGATGGAATGCTAAAATTACTTCTTTTTCTCAAAGATCATACGGCCGAATGTAAAAACTACATAACCCAATACAGGTTTAAAGGATACAAGACAGGTCCAAGTCGAAGCCATCATCTTCGTATCTTCGTTTCTTCTTGCTAACTAACTTCTTCAAATACGACGTCGTCATATTCGTATAACCCCTTACTTGAGCATCATTTGGCCATTTATTCGCTAGTTCCCTGGGCAAATCGAACCGTAGGTTATATTCGTAAGAGGTTTGGCTTCCTGTTGCCCGAAACGATTGACGTAAAATATACAAAAAGTAGGAAGAAAATGGCAAAACGTGTCACTGAAATATCGCATGTATCAAGACGCCATTTTGTGAGTCTTGCAAGTGAGTAATCGAACTTCCGCTTTCCTTATTTGGAAATGTTGGGTGGGTAATCTTTGGTTAAGGTGGCATTAGCACATTTCACGACGCGAAACAATTTCAATAAAATCAATTTTCGATCATCTACGAAATGACTCAAATCAGTTGAAACTTGAAAGCAAAACACGGAACACACAAGGGCTTACACCACTGACAGGCCTTTCACGATTAAACTGACAACAAGTTGTCAAGTTGAAGGGGGAAAGTCTATCAGCAATCGCATTATTCGCATACATGATGCACTTGAATTACCTAGGATCCCAGCGATATGATTCAGTGCTATTAATTATTACTGAAGAACAATGAAAGCATTTATTATTCATTTTTGACAAGCTTTGAGAGAATTGTCGTCGCCAAAACTGAGCCAAATAAATCAATGAAATTATGGGCAATAAAAATATCTCTTCGCGAAATTTCTAAAATCGAAATTGAATCGAATTATTCTTTGTCAAATCACGATAAGGGAACGAAAGCACAAATGATATGGCGTGGTAACAGGAGAGGAAGTGGGGAGGCGAAAAAGAAAGTTCAATTAAATATTGATAATACGAGTCTTTGAAATTAATGTTTAACTATCGTCTTAATTGCCCTTATTTGGATTGCACGAGTCACGCATGTGTTATAATTTTATCAATTACATTTCTGTTTTTGTTTCATTGTCTTGTTTTATTTAAAAAATCTACATCGAGATTTAAGTAGCATTAACTTGGGACGTAATAATCTTGTTTACAAGCAAAAATCGCGTCTTGACTTTCAAATACTTCAAAATTCAAATCACTTTACACGATTAAGCCTTTTAGATTTGAACAATTACGGATTGATTGGAAGGATTAATTGACCGACTTTTACACAACCAAATACACAACCACATAGAGACGAACTCTATAGAGTATAGTCAATACATTGCAGTCGATTACGTTCTGTAATTCTATTTAACAATTTGTACCGTTATGTATGTACACGAATGGTATTTTCACAAAATCATTTGCATGCTCATTGGCAAGTTTCAAAAAATATATTTAATTTTCATGCACAATCAAAATCGTCAAGATCAAAGAACAATTTGTGTCATACAATTTCACGCACGATTAAAACTACTTTACAGTGGCGTAGCCAGCCTGACGATTTTGTCCCGCTATGTAAATTTCGAGTTATTATAATTATTCATGTCTTTAGAAATCTATTGTTTTCACAGTCAGCGAACACTAAAATATTAGCATAGCGGGACAAATCGACAGGCTGTCTACGCTAGTGCTACTTCATCAACCTATCAACATAACGAGTGTTATCAGCTCATATAAAGTCTGAAGAAAAAATTAACTTTCGGTATTAATTCAGTGTTATAAGGTATAGACGTTATATACGTGGCTAAATTCTGAGTGATTCAAAGTGAATATAAAACCTTAGAAGTGACATGCAAGTTCCAAGATGTTATGAGAGTTTTCTCACTTGGAGAGAAAGGTAGAGGAACGCTTCATGCGTTTTTTCAACCAATTGTTCCGATACACGACATTTCATTCGGTTATAAAAATGCAGCTTTTGCAGGGTCATCTCTTCATAATCATAACGTCTTGCAGAAACCGCTGTATCGTGCCAGAAACCTTACGTTTGGCTGCTGTTCCAAAAGGTCTAGAAATTGAGTTTTCCTCCAATTTCATTATATTCCATACGCAGTCCATGTCAACTTTGGTATCTTTCTAGCAATGTATTATAGCAGATATCGCACACGCGCACTGGCTTAGCGGAGGATGGGAGAGGCATGGCATTGTCCGAACAGGAATTACAAAAGATTCCACCACAATTACGACAATGGTGCTTAAAGAAGCAAAAAAGATACGTTAAATGCTGATATCAACAATCTTCCGAGTTTCCTAGACTTCATTCAGTCCTAGGACAGATGTTATAGAAAAGGTCACTTCGTGAAACTCGATTCAATTTACAAAAAGTTGTTCAAATTTATCCGGAGTGGGGAATCGTGAACTACACTAATATACTAGAATTTCACAATCCTATAGAGACATTTATAAAAGGTCCCCGTTATGACGTGGTTTGTGGACGAAACATGCTACTGCATGATTTGCCAATCAGAGGCGACCAACCAGAAACATACTTCATCGGCAAACTACGTCATAACGCAGATGTTTTTTGTAAAAATCCGTGTAAAGAGATTTCCTCAAACGCTAACCGGTTGTTCTTATTATTTAACAAGAGTCACAATTAACGTTTGATTGAAAGAACATATTCATGTCAATCAATAACAGTACATTGATCTTATAATAAGCCAGACAATTCAATGGCATTCAGGCAAAATGATAAGCTTCACTTACTTTCCGACGAGAAATTGAAAAGGCCTGTTTACAAAATTGACAATAGGCTGTGTCCTTATCGTCGGTCCATTTCATTTCCTAAAAACGAATGAATCACTTTTACAAATTCTGAGAAAAACTCGACGAGAACTTCAGTGAATTATTTCATTTTTTTCCGTCTGTCCAATTACACTAGAAGTGTAAAGTTTATCAATAACCGCTGATGAATGAAGTACGTGCGTAAAAAACGCTCGAGTTGATTCAAGTTGATATGAACAGGATAGAACAATGTTGTGCTGGCCACATAGTTCAGAGTTGTTATCAACATTGAACAACATTGTCACACCCGATTCATTTTCAAAAAATATTGTTCAATGTTGATAACAACTGTTAACAATGTGGGCAGCACAACATTGTTCCACCCTGTTCAACCGCAGGCTCAGAGTTTTTAGTTAATTTGTTAAATTTCGTATGCACAAATTTAAAGAATAAAACGTTCGAACACCTAGTCACGATGTACGACGTTTATTTATATACTTTCCAGTGATTGTGTACGTTAAGGTCGACACAAACCGAACGCGATCCGCCAACGCGACGCGATTTTTACGAATTTTTCAATTTTTTAAAAGCCGCTAATTTTGACAATGTTATGATATTCTTGGTGATTACCGATTGACGGTACATTTTTACTGATCTGGTACCCATATCTCGCAAAATGTTATCCATATCTCGCAAAATGTTCGCGTCGCGTTAGCGAATCGCGCCAGTGTGTCTGGCCTTTACATACGATTCTAAGTTCTTTCCAAAAAAACCCACCACCAAGTCTTGCCCGCAATAGTGATTGCGTTTTTCTTCAGTCAATTATTTCACTCAGTGAAATGCAGTATATTTATACGACGAAATCGTTACTTGACGGGACAAAATAGCCAATTTTGACAGGACATCCAATATCCCTTGGCCTTGAGCAATGCAAGCCCTTTCATGCATGTACACCATATACAACTGTTGAAATGTTTCTATCAGATTATTACAAACCTTCATGTTTTGATGAGCCTCTTTCATCTCGACGACTTTTAAATGAGAACTAAGAGAAAATACAGTATTGAGACATGAGATAAGATCATGCAATTCTTCTTGCGACGGAGGGTGTTGACAGGGACGCCGGACGCAAAAATGCCCTTTCATTTTAAAGGATTAATTACATTCTATATCCAAAGTAAACGTGCCACAAACGAGCATCAAAAATAACACAATCGTCTAGGCACAGAAATTATCTTTGAAAGAGAAAACACGACGATACGAGGTTTAACTGACGATGTTCTGCAAACATTCTTTATTAATGCGCCGCTACATGAGGACTGCCCTTTCACCAAAATCTGCCCCCTTTGCCCTCGCATCGTTCCGGCGTCCCTGGGTGTTAAATGGTTAGATTTATCGCGGATTTTCTTTCGTTGTAACAATAAATCTTCCCTAAAGTTCATTGCTAAAGTTCTACTATATAGTGGTATTTTAAAGATCTTAGACAGTCATAAGTGTAATCCCGAAATGCAACCATATTATACCTGCTTAATGTATTACCCATTTCCACCAACGCCTGAAAATTTAGAAGAATATATTGAGCCTAATTGCGTATATATTGAGCCGAAGTGTGTATAATTCAATTGGAAATTAAGACGTTTAAACATCTAGAATTTATGTGGAAAATATACGCTTTCTAGCCGTATTGTATGTAAATCATTGTCGAGATTTGCGGCTATAGATAAAAATGCTGTTTCATGCACTATGGGTCCCTCAGCCTTACTATCAGTCTTGTATTGAAAAAATTCTAGACCAAAGAACTTACCGTTTCTTGTTCTAGATACGATTTCTTTAACTCATTGTGAGCTTCTTCTAGAGTCGCGTATTTCTAAAGGCATGTCAAGCTTACTGGTCAGTTAAGCACATTGAACTCAAAAGAACTTTAATTTGTTCAATTGAACAAAAGTTCTTTTGAGTTCAATGGTTAAGCATGATGAATGCATGTATAGTGTTATGTTTTTTTCACTTTTGAAATATTCACTTAAGCCTAGTTTCCATTTTGTCCTTATTCTCGTCAACATGTCAAGGTGGCTGATGTGATAGAATTTTATGTGTGTGCAGTCAACAATGACCGATTTGAATACAGAAATAAAGGCAAATTTACACCCGGACTATTAAAATTACATCAAGTAAAATGACTTGTTCACAGCCTTGAATGCATATTGCGCAACTAATTTCTTTATAGCATGTGGGACTCAGGACATTCAAACCTTAACTATTAAATCAGTCATTAGTAGTTTATATTCCAACCTGTTTTACGACTTCGAGTTCACGAACTCGTCCTTCCATCTGAGTGAGATTTTCATTGACTCGTGTGAGCTCTTCCTGAAGACCTGACCTCCAGTCACGTTCAATCTTTAGATCAACTTCCAGGGCATTTCTGAAAAATAATGAAACTATTACAGAAAACAGCGAGAGGGAAGATATTACATCTCAGCTGAAACGAGCGTGTTAAATGAGTAAAACTACAAAATTTGTTTGGAAAATGTCGTAGAAAGAGGAAAATTTAGTCTTATTTATAACAAAGTTTGCAAATTTTGTATACTTTTGTTTTACGCACGTAAATTGCTACTATTTCTGTCCCGATTTTTCAGTGCGAAGACCCTTAATTTTTTCTCAAAGTACATACTTTTAAGCACTTAAAGAATATTGACAATCGTTATAGAAGGTCACGCCGTAGGACATATCTAAGACAAGCTTTACCTAATACCTTTTGCCGTCACACGTGACCAGTTGCTGACTTATTTGCTGCATAGTTTCCTCGACAGCGCTCTTCTCCTTGCATACTTCATTTAACCTAAAACAATAAGAATGTATACATGCATGAAGTTTAACCTGTTCCATGCGATAAAAATTCCTCCTCCGTGTTGATTATCATCAACTTCTTATTACAAGGAGTTGGAACTATACATCTCTTATAATTACTTGTTTTCTAAATCTTTTGATTCGATCGTAATGCGGGAATATTTTTCTCCCAATTCTGCCCATTTCTCCTCATTTTGAGCTTTGGCCGTTTGACTTTCCTGGAAAAATGACGAATATACAATACAAACGATATAATCAAGGAGCAGCGTGGCAACGTCTTCTAACAGCTTCGCATGCAGTAAATGGGGTATAGCAATTGCTTACATAGACAAAAACACTTCGACCTGAGGGCCTTCGTCAGGAGAGGTAAAGGCCGGCCTCCACTTGCACGTACGTACGCGCTGAAATCGCACGTCGATGGCCGCCTTGAAAGTAGACTACAGTTCTACTGCCACACGTACAAGAAATTAGCCGCAACTGCCGGCTTAGCAACCAGTTTCGAGTCATCGAGCATGCGCCAAATCGGCCGCACAGATAGTACGTGCAAGTGGAGGCCGACCTTTAGCACTAAAGTACCATAACTTTCCTGACAACATCGCTTAAGTCGAAATAGCGGGAAGTGTTTTTGTTTCATCCATATTTTTTAAACTCAAATGTTTCTGGGGGGGGATGCCCTCTCTGCACACCCACCCCGTACGCCTATGGTAACAGTTGATCGCCCAGGTTGTTAATCACCTTGAAAAAGACTTTTTACAGAGCTAATTAGTACTCATAAAAACGGTACCTGCCATTTTGTGTGCAAGTCTAAATTTATAGTCTTGATATCCTGTAGCTGTCGTCTTAACGAGATCAACGTATCCTGTTTATCATGGATGTCCTTCTCCAACAGTTGCATTGCAATCTAATGGGAACAACAAACAACTATACGTGAATTCCCCAGTACTGCTCTGTTGCACCGAGCAATCCCCCCCCCCCTTGATACCAGCAAACCTATAACTTTTAATGGTGATACTCAAAAACCTGCGGTTTTTAAAACAGAAGATTTAGTTCAGGGATGAAACCTGTTTTACAGTAAGTGGATATAAAGTCAAACAACACATAGGTGGTTTACACTGTGTATGTACATAAATTATATAGTTTTGAACTTACGTTTATAGACTTATTACAGTACATACACAATCTATCTAATCGGAAACAAAATTATCTATTTATTGAACAACTGAGTTGAAATATTTTGTTTTAAATAGTTTAATTCTCAATAGAAGCACATATTTAATAAATGAGATGTAGAGTAGGTTCAGTCATAAACAAGATGTATGAGAGTATTTTTAAACTTTGGCTCATCCTGCATTTAAGCTAAACGCCTTTCGAACAACCGAATTATGAAAACCTATAAGGTTGTACCTGACTTTCATTTTTCATGTTTTTGACAAGTTCCAACTCAGATTCTGTTTCCTACAAGTAATAAATAAGTAGGAGAGAGCTTATTAATTTGGAATATTCTGAAACGAATGCAATATCTGTCGAAGGAAGGAACGCGTTCCGATAAAAGTGGAACGCAAATGGAACGCATATTGGAACCCACTGGAACGCATTTGGAACGCATTTGGAACGCAATTGGAACGCAATTGGAACGCATTGAGGAACGCGTTCCGAACGCGTTCGGAACGCGTTTCCTGTTAGGTTTTTTCTGAGCAGTACTGTAGTCATGTAGCACTGATTACACTAAAGTCTAAATTTCTTAAAATATCAAGAACAGTCGGCTGGAGTTCATAATAAAAAAACAAGAAGCATGCTCATAAGCAGAATTGATGCGCATGCAGAAGCGAACTGTAATTCCTCTTCCAGCGTAAAAACATCAACTTTTAGGATTACCTTCCTCAATTTCTTTTCGTTGTCAAGTTGCTTTCTGACATCCTCATACATCTCATTCAAACCTTCCCTATCCAGAAAAGACAAATGAATCGACATAAGCAAAAATTTGCGCGGGAAATACACTACTGTCAATACGTCTAGCAACCTCGTTCCCAGGGTTTTCTCGTTAGACTGAACCTCTAATTGAAATATGTCTCGATCAACTACCCTACCAGGGGCCTGTAATAGTGGATTTGTTACAATTATCAGGATTTTTCACAACAGCTCCTTTCAGTACTGCATTCCATCCAAAATAAGCGACTTATTACCTCCTATACTGCACACGATTTAAATTGACAGCGAGTTTTGGAGAAAGATCAGTTTAGGATATAACATAAATATTGACACTTTAATACCTTGACTTTACATAAGTCTCTCTTTCAATACCGATATCAGCTTGCACTATCTGTAAGCGATATAGTATTTGTCTTTAATACCATATAAAGAGAGGCGTAGTTTTACCCGAGGAGAATATATACTCCCATTGCAAGAAGTTCCAGGGTCAAGGGATTTCAAAGATTTTCCGAAATTAAATTCAACTATAAACTTGTAACTATATAGTTTATAGCGTCAATTAAGTGTCAAGGTCTGTCGGGATATCGAAGGTAGAAATATACGATCCTAATAAAAAACTTATTGAAGTGCACAGACGTTTTGAAGTGCAATATACATGTAGCAACCTAATGTTTATTCGTCTTGTCTACAGGCAAGATTCCATATGCAATTTTTACTACGGTTTATGTGCGATTTTCTTCTTGGAAAAATATGAACGAGTGAATTAGCTGCACGGTTGTTCAAATAAAAGCTCCCATACATCAGTCCTGTCATCAGCGCATTCGTAACTAACGAGTCGTTCACATCCATCAAAAAAACAAAAACATCGAACGTAATATCGCAGCAAAATCGCAACTGTATGTAAACGAGCCATGTTCTCGTTAAAACTAGTTGAGTTTCAGGATCATGTTCATTTCGGAACTTACTGTACATACCTCCAGCTGTCTTTTATGTTGTAAAACAACCACATCGCTTCCTTTCTTCAGTTCATCTCGCTCCTCCACAACTGACTTTAATTCATATTTCAAATTGCCAATCTGAGTATTACAGAACAGTTAACAGATAAATGAAGTATAGTCATTTAATACTCAATCATTGAACAAAAAATAATTAAAAATTTATTATTCTGACGCCGTTTTGTAACAAAACATACACAGTTCAAAGTCAACATACAAGATCGATATAAAGGAATATAAACTTGATCAACAACGTGTTCTTTCAAAGTAGCTAAATATATAAACGTTATAACTGACTACTTTATGTACCATGCATGATGTCTGTTGTGAACAAACCTCCTCCTTTTGTGTTTTATCCAGGTCTTCTAAAATTTTCATCTTTGCTTGGAGATCTGCCATGTTTGAGCTGTTGATGAAAATAATTAAACAAATCAGCTGTGATAGAAAACCTTTGTGTTGTAATCCCTAGTTTTCTTGTGGTGCATCAGTATGGCAAATTTAAAGGGAAAAGATGAATGGTGAAGTTATTAAACATACGCGAGACTTCTGTTGATTTCTTCAAGATAAGCTTTCTGATCCAAAACCAATTCCATGTTGACATTTTGTGATTCATTGTTTGTGCTGATAAAAACAATAATTGATTCTCTTTAAACTCAATGATTCAAATCTCTCCTTTTTTTGGAAGCAAAAGTGTCATTGTATTCTGACATATAATGAACACACAAATATTGTTAAAAAAGAAAGCATTTCAAAGGAATATAGTGAAACATTATGTAGCTATAGGTCAAAACTACCTTGTTGAACAATCATCATCAGGTTTTTCCAAGTAATTCCCTTCTTTGAGATAAAAACTTAAATCAATGACACTTCTCTGCAAAGAAAAAGAAATGGATTGAGCACCTTTCTGGGGGCCATTTTTGTAAAGATAAATATTTGCGAATTAGCGACTGTAATGTTGAAATCTTAATTTGTGCTTTAAGATTCCTTGTCCAAGGTTGTTTCAAGTTCTATTAGTCACAAGTTGCAAGACTATTGTGAACAATTCATGATATACAGTATAGCAAAATTTTCTCTTTTTCTTGTGTGACCAAATTCAGCCAGTAAAAATATTTTTACTGAAAATTATGTATAGTCGAGTATTGTACTAACCTGAAGATCCAGATCGCCCCCCTTGATGCACATATTACAATCAATAACGTTCAGCCCTACTAACAGACCACCAATAACTGCCCCTTCTTCTCCAATCATTGTCGCTGACTGCTCGTACCATTCACTAAAAACGTTCACATCCCATTGTCATACCATAGTCATAGACAAAATATTAAGCCAAACAGGCAGAAACACATGGCGATGTATATATACATGTATACTAATTCTAAGATGCTTTTTCTAGCGATAGTACTCTATTTCTCTTAATGCTCAATGTACATAAGAATTTAGTCTAGGACTTAAATTGACCATTGCACAATTATTTTAATTTTGGAAGTTACACAGCTGTTGAAAAGAGCTCATTTCCAACATAATTACCTTAAAATATCTTTCCGCGTGAGTAAGCTGTTGAGGTAATCTGCTATCTTCTTTTGCATCATTGCCAGGCGAAGCCATGCTCTGCCACGACCTAAACCTGTCCTATTTCACATTAAAAAAAAACATTTGTTACACAATAGATTTTGTAAAATTCATAAAAGTTAATGAAGTTAGAAAATATTTGATTAAAACAAAACTTCAAGGCATGACACAGTCATATTGAGTATTTTAACAGCATGTTATGACATAAAAAGGTCAGTGACTCACTTGAGCCCAGGCAAGCTGCGCACACTCTCTGTGATCTCAGCTGCATCGGCATCAATTTTCTCAATATTCTCCAAGGGTCCCCAATAGTCCTTGCTTGCCCCAAGGAAATTCCTCTTAACTGTATGCATTAGGTAAAGAATAGAACATCAAACCATGAATTGGCAATATTGCCAAAGCAATATCAATGAATGCAACAATTGTGACAATGGAGCCAAAGTAAAACGAAACCCAGCCTATAGCTAAACATCAGCACGTAAAATTGCAGGGAAAGTAGATGTGACTTTATGAAAAAACCTAGATATTTACCATTTCTAGAAAGTGGATAAGACACCGAGACTTCTATTTTCCCCAATCAAATTAATGCACAGTGTGCAAGCTTAGAAAAAATCCTCACATACTGAAAAACAAATATCTCAAAATTCCCCACTAAATACCAGAAAACCTTATATTTGTAAATGATTTTGCGTTAAAGAAAACAAGAAAACATTTTTTTCTAGTTCCTCGTCAGATGACTGTATTGTACAAAGGCGTGTGTGGGTCAAACATGGTCATCCCACTGGAAGTGGGCTTCCTGGTAGTGGGCAAATATACCAAAGTAGGTATATTTGTTAAATAGATAATACTCAATTGATCTAAATTAAATTATCCATAACAAACTCCTGTTTGCTGATAAACAACTCACCCTTTAGACCATGCCTCAAAACATGTTCAATAATAACAAAAAATTGTTGCAATGGTAAATGATCTTCCCCCAAATTTCGACCCGATTTTAAGGAGCTTTCTATTAAGTTTTTTATACATAATTTAGAGAGATTTAAAAGGTTTGCACGTTCGACAGCTGCATAAGCAAAACTTCTAGGACCATTTAAAGAGGAAGTGCTTGATGATCGCGAAGCAACTAGGTCAGAAATGTTTTCTGAATCATCTGAACTGGCTGCCATATTGCCAAATTCCAACTTGTTATTATCATATTGTGTTCGATACGAATTAATTCGACAGTTTCCGAATATTGCCCGACTACAAGATGATGAATGGGTTCGAACGTTTGGCTGGTGAAATATTGTAAAGTGTGAAAAATCAATTTTTGTATAAATTAGTATTACGTTCGAAAATGCGTTAGGGCTGCTTTCCACTGTCTCTTTTTTTGCATTGCACGTATAATATGGTGTTTCGGTACTGTTTCCAATTAGAGAAAACTAAAAAATCATCAATGTCTCTAATAGGACGTACACCATACTGAAAAGTTTAAAACCTTCTACTCTTCTTCAACGGTGGGCGTGCAAGGAATTAAAAAAAACATATAGTAAGTGTGTCAAAATGCGAAGGGTCTCCTTGAAAGGGTTCCCTTTTTAGGCAAGAAGGTACGATAGCCTACACTTAAACACTATACCCCTAGAAACCTCCCAATCAATAAGTCTATATAGTTTCAATGTAATATACCACGAAAAATTTACAAGGTGTATATTTTATATTCTTATAGAAACTTCATAGGTGAGGCAAAATGATTAGATTAAGTTCATTTCCTTCTTGCTCGAGACTAACCAGATTTTCAGAGCTTAAACTGCAATCCAAAATTAATACCAAAAAGGAAACAAAAGAGTGCCAGTATTTAAATACCGAATAGTGATTTTTTCTTCATATCAAAGTTCAATAATTCGAATTTAAATGTCGAATGACTAAAGTATCATTTTTGATGCCACTGACAGACAGACTTCGTCTTCGGAATGGTCGCATTATATAAGCAGACTGAACAGAAGACTTATACAATCATATAAGTACTCTGGATTACCTTCGTATTGATTTAAAATTAGGCCTATACGAATCGTTGCGCGCGCGTCGGCCATGCTAATGCATTTTCTTACTTTTATTTCAATTCAAGTAAATTAATATATGTAAAGTAAATATCATAGCGAATTTGCAACACATAGAACTAAAAAAACCATCTATCTACTCAGGACAATGTTCTCTTTAAAATGGTTCAATTTTTATTAAACTGATCGGTCAAGTATTCGCACAGAAGATACAAGTTAAAGTGAACGACAGGCAAGCTACGCTACTACAAAGTCCTCAGGCAGAACTACGTTGCTATTCAATTAATTTCTTCTATATCTGTGTTAGGCCTAGTTCATACGTCGCATTTTGGTCGCGTCGAATGCAATTCAAACAATAGATAATAAGATGGTAATGAAGCTAAATGAGATTCACCATCTCATTATCTATTGTTTGAATTGCATTCGACGCGACCAAAATGCGACGTGTGAAGTGGGCCTTAAAAAAATTCAAGTCAAACGTTTTAGGTAACAATTCAAAGTCGAAAAATATTTCACTCAAAAATGAGTAAATTGTGTTTGCATTTCCATTTCCGCGTCTTGTGATCGTTTGCATTCCGTGTTTTTTTTGTCAGGCTTGTTTAGAAAATAGGCGTATTGACACATCCCCGTGACCTGAAAACAATAGTACCTGCATACCCAAAGAGAACTCTAGAAGTGTTTCAAGCAAGTGGTGTCTTAAAGCAACGGTTACAGCTGCCCAAATCTTAGTTGTCTCTAACTTGCTTCGAAGTAGTACTTCCATACAGCCAAAATTACCAACCTTAACTCGGTCCTATTATGCATTAGTTTGGTTTCCTTGTATGTAATTTGTGTATTCTGCGGTAATGCAGTAATTAAATTCACCTTAACTGTTATGATACGCCATTCATTTTTCGTCTATTGTCGCTTAGCTACAGAAGCATTCGGTTCACCGCGTCAATATATATAAGACAGCAGGTGCTATCGAAATCCAGGTCAACATTTTGCTTCCGAAAATGTAAGGCGCAATGATTTATCAGCATGTTCCAAATGGGACGGTGAATCAAGGTTTTAAGAGAGATCTGCATGATGAAGATGTTTTTAAAACTTATGGTATGTATGAAAAGGTTTCAAAATATTGTCTGGCTTTCGAAAACAGAGTCATAATGAGAATCGTCAGTGAATTAAAACTATTTGCATGCAGGGAAAAAAATTTAGGTTGTCTTCATTATTGTTAATCTTAAGACGTTCAGATCTATAAGAGATATTTTGGATTCATGAATTTACAGAATAATAAAATAGAATAATGTATATAATATAATACATAAACTATAAAGAAATAAAAATCTCGTATTGTGCCATTACGGTGTATATGTATAATATTGCATTCAGTCTCAGAGGGATGTTAGAAGAGTCCACAAGAAGAGTGTGAACACTCCGCAACACCTTTTGTTTTCAAGTGCCCCTGGCACAAAATACGATTTTTGCACAATGGATGTACGCATTTGTCCGAAAGTACGCATTTGTCCTAGTGTTGTAGTGACGGAATTTTTCAGCAATTTTGTTTGTCGAAGCAAGGAAAGAGTTCTTCAGTGAAGAGGCTGAGAATCAGCGAAATATATATTTTATTTGCCATGGTTTTAAGTTTTAGTTTTTTGAATTTATTTTAACAGTTTTAATAATTAGGGTCTAGGCTTTATTAAATGTGTTGAAAGAGAAACTTATGGACGATATGTCAAATTCAAACTGCCTGAAGGAATTTTTTGATTTCATAAAAAAGAAAAATTTTAGAGTCGTTTGAATCGATATATAAGACACTGAAACTAGGGTTCTATGCTGTTTTTAATACACATTATTCTTTAACTGTGTAAATGAAGCAATCTGATTGGCTGAGAAGCGTTTCACAGCGGGCCGGAATTTTGCATCCAAACGACACAAAAAACAACAGTATACCTGCCCAAAGAGAACTCTAAACGCGTGGGTTTTAACGGAGCTGAGATTGTGGTGTCTTAAAGCAACCTTATGCAGCTAATATACACTCAAATCGTAATTGTCTTCAACTTTATTCGAAGTAGTACTTCCATGCACGCAGCCAAAATTACCAACCTTAACTCGGCCTTAACCCAGTACTAGAATATTTATTAGCATGTTACGCATTAGTTTGGTTTCCTTGTATATCCTGCGGTAATGCAGTAATTAAATTCACCTTGTTAGGATACTCCATTTGGTATTGTTGCTTAGCTACGGAAGCATACGGTTCACCGCGTCAATATATAAACATATCAGACAGCAGGTGCTATCGAAATATCGCGGCAATCCAAGTCAACTTTCGCTGCCGAAAATGTGAGGCGCAATGATTTATCAAGTTCCAAATGTAGTAAATCAAGGTTTTAAGGGAGATCTGATGAAGATGTTTTTAAAACTTATGGTATGTTTACAAAGGTTTCAAAATACTGTGTCGCTATTCGAGAACGGTATCGGTGTAGGAGAGAGTCCTCAGTTAAACTTAAAATATTTGCACATTTGCCGCTGCGGCGAAAAAAAAAAGTTTAAATTAACTTTACCATCTTAATTCGATTTCATATAAGATTTTTATTCAAACATTTCGTATCGGCTGGCTTGCTGACTTGAAAATGCGACAAAATATCTGCAGCCAAAGCCTGTCTTTATTTTTGTAAACTCGCAGAGAAGGGGTACTCTTCTAAATATCAATAAGAAACTTAGATTTCAACCCGAAATTCCACTGGAGCCAGTAACCTTAAATTACTATTTTTCATCCCAGGTAACGTCGCTTATCTCCGCTCTCATCAATGAGGCCAACGGTAGGTTCATGAACAAATATTTACTGAACTGACCATTACATAATGATAATCCCCGAGCCGGCGCGGAGCGCCGTGCGAGGGTGCTAATTCCGCACGGAGATTAGGAATTACACCCGGGTATTGTAACAGAACATAGCGGAATCCAAAGTTGTCCAAATTCTATGTCATAGACCGTGGACGTTCAATGGTCATGGCACTTGTGCGCACGCGCAAAATTTGAACGAGTAAGGACTGGTGATTAGCAACTCGCTGATTGGCTAAGACCTGGATGGGCTAACGCAAAATGTTGGTGTTTCAATGAAAATTAAAACTTCAGCAATTTAACTGTCATTTTGCAAACTATTTTTTTAAAAAATGTTTCGTAAACACAATATGAGATGCAGATCAAATAAAATTATATAAACAGTGAGAAAATATTAAAATATGATCAGAACTGGAAAAGTGAAGCGGTCAAAGTTAAGCGGTGAACTCGTACTTTATAATCCTTGAAATGGTAGGTGTCTGCTTTGTTTCTTTCGTGTTTGCAGTAAGAATTCATTTTAGGAACTTGGAATGTCGTTTTGCGAAGACCTAACCGACTATTTAAGACTTTACATCATCGTTTTAACTTCAAAAAGAGTTACTGAAAGTGTAATTCGGAGGTTTGATATAACAAATATCACTTTGAAGCTTTTACTGCAATCGAGTGCAATCATTGTATGGTTTCAACAATCGAAAAACAATATTCGACGTTTAGTGTTTGGGGATTTTAATTATTCTTGCTATTTTAAAGGTTTAGCTATAGTGAAGTTATTAACTTAAGTCTATATATGACTATAACTGCATGCAACGCTTGCAACAAGTAAACTGTGATTTATTTCACCTTTACGACTGTGTTTGTTTCCGAAATATGAAACATCAGCTAATTACGGTCTGGCTAGCTCAGGAAAAAATTCGAGTCGTTTGAAATGGCGAGGGGTTGCTGCATTCATGTATTTCTAGTATAAATATATAATAATACTGTGATGAAACAAAAAAATGCCAATGCATGTTACTTAACAGCTAAAAAAAGTTTCCAAATTAAAATTTCAACTGTCCTTCGGTGAAGTCGCCACTGTCCCGACATTTATGTAAAAAAGAGGGATAATTGCGTCCAAAATCCCAGAAAAATTGCCATACTGACATTAGTGAGCTTAACCAAGTGACGTTTTTGACAACACAAACCGCATGAGTAACTTCACAAGACTGGGTCAAGGATTTTGATTGGTGAAAAACAAATACGTTACTTCCGTTCAAGGTATGTATGCGTTGTCAAAAACGTCACTGGCGTAATCTTGCGTTAACCTCACTAACAGTACGCATGTTACGCGTACGAGCTCGTTGTTGATATATCTATTATTTGACATGATTTTCATATTAATTTGTCCCCCCTTAAGCATCCAATTGCACTGGGCTGCGTGCGGTTGGAATTGCGAAGGGAGATGGGCGCATTCTCGATAGTCAGATGACGGCAACTTCGTTTTCGAGCAGCTCTTTACAGGCCTTCCATGGTAGACTGCATGGCAAGGGATGGCGGCCAAAAGATTACCCTACAAATCTGGATGAATGGCTAACGGTATTTAGTTTAAACTTAGTAATAGACTATCTCTTTTCCGATCCTGCGTTCTGATTAACTACGTTACCAGTAGGCTATTAGAGCTTGCCTATACTATAGTAGCAAAACAATGGCTGGAATTCACGTTTTGTCGAAGTATTTGATGAGTTTTTGGACGCTTTTCTAGGAAATTCCGTGTCAGAAAAAGCCAAGAAAGCAACAATAATTGCTACAGTTTATACAAAAACAATTAGACAACTCTGCCTCGTTGTCAAACTATTGTCAATATTATCATGGACATGAAAATATAAAGAGGAATTCCATGCAAGCAATTTTCCTGACAGCTAGAAATCAATATACTAGCTACTAGAGAACGGTGATCGCGTGATTTGCATAAAAAAGTAGACAACTTTTTGCTTGAATTAAGCGGATTTGTGGACCAGGTGTTTGTTAAGAGTTAGGTATACTGGGGTAAGGTTTAGTTTTGAAAGGTGTACATCCCTTTTCGCTGTTTTTTTTGAAGTAATTGATTTTTCGTTTTTTGATAACCGGAAAAAATATTAGAACCTTCAAATGTTGTAATAAAATTATACATTGCCCATGGAACGAAATAGGTAAGTTTAATTTTCAGGGGGGTTGCGTGACTATTTTACTGGGGGGGTTATACCCCCAGTTTTACCGACGTGACACTTGCAGCACATCTTTATAGAAAAAGCAAGGAAACTCTACATTATTTAACAATTATTCGTCGAAGACGAGCTGAAGTCGAGGTTTTAATTCAGCGATATTCACCGAGGTGAATAATTATTTTAGTATAATTACAAAGGCTATTTTTTCAAAAAAACGAATATGTTGTGGACGGATCCATAGAGATTATAAATAACACTAGAGGGAGCATCGAGGAGAAATTGGGGAGAAATTGGGGAGAAACCGGATGTTCACTCATTCACGATGTCCGAGGCCAAAATAAGTCGTTTTAAACGATTTTTTCTATTTCTAAATGTTTTCTCCCTAAAATATCATTTCAGGATGTCTAAGGTAGTAAAACCAGTTAGAGTTTTTCCTCAAAAACCGGCAAAGCGACCTAAAAAACGAATATAAATTTTTAAACGCAAATTTTGCGCTCCTAATAATGCGCTCCCTTTTTTGACTGATGTTTCCGATACCAATGCCTCCTCTAGTGTTATTTGTTAACTCTATCGACGGATAGAAATACATGTTTCACAACCCAAAAAATATCTCGACAGTTTTACAGCAATTCAAATAAAAAGAACTTTTCGAAAAATAAAGTTGAACAGCGTTCTACAAAGTAGTTTGAAAAACTGTTTATGCCTAACTTTTTCACTTCTTTTGTGCTTTCAGGTACAGTATTTTCGTTCAAATAACGTCTTTCTTCGTCTGTCACGTCCATCACGTCTATCACGTCTTTGACAAAAACACAAAAACAACTCGCAGCCATTTTAAAAAACCGCTTGGGTGAATAATTCGAGGACGCTCGACCAATCAGAGGCCAGAATTTTCAATAATTACTTTTCTAATTATCAGTTAAGATTAATTATTGAATGAAACTTTGTTCGTGAAGTGGAACCAACCCTCGGTGAAAACAGTCTATAACAGATGCATTTCATTCCATTTTCCTCTAAGGGTTTTTATGGCGTTGTATATCAAGCTGCACTTGGTGACGCGGTCCGTTGTCCTACATGTATATGAAAACTGTCAGACAAGATTGCTCTCTTTCACAGTAAATTTCATGGAATGAAAAGCCCTATCCCACGCTATAATCAACAAGCCGTTTGTTTATACACAGACTTAACTTCCCTTTAAATCGTTTTGAAATATAAAAATGTAAAAAGAGTTCACTACTAGCCAAATTTATTTAAAGAATTCATAAAGCTAGTAATCTACACTAATTTACACTATAACAACATGTCTTTTTCAATTCTCAAATCTCTGTTTCTTTAGATTACATTTAATGAAATGAGAACTATTGGCGCAATTGAAACACAAGGCTTTGGGGCCGGAACACCCTATGTTAAAACCTTTGCAATATCGAGACGTGTAGGAGACCAGTATATTTGGATATTCAGTGACGGAAGCGACCCAAAGGTTAATGTATTTTTATCTTTTTATGAAGCGGTGCTCTACAACACTAAAAATTACGATTTATCCTGTTTAAAAATTTCAAGAGATGCAATTTTAAATGCCTCTCTAATTGATCCTGAATATTTTATCTTAGAAAAATATATAACGAACATGAGAATTAAACAAAAAGTGATACTAATTAGGGTTTTACCCAGAGCAAAAGGGATCGATTGGCGTATTCTATTGTTTCATTGTTCAATTATAGTGTATTGTTGGCTATAATTTATGAATATATGCAAAACTTTTTTGTCGCTTTTCTTAAGGCCGGCGCACACTAGAGCTGTGTGCTTAGTGTCCCGCCCGTACGCGACAACAACTGGCTTAAGGCTATTCTCCATTACCGTCCGCCTCACCCGCGCGGGCAAAGCGGCTTTTGAAAATCTGCCCATGCGACCGTGACCGGCATGGTGCCGGGTGAAGCGGACGTTAATGGAGAATCGGCCTAAAGGCCGACACAGACCGGACGCGAATTGGCAACGCGGCGCGAATTTTCAACGTTTTTAATTTTTCAAAATCAAATAAATTTTAAACTATCATAATATTCTTGTGGATTGCATAACAATAAAGCATTTTGACTGCTCTAGCGTCTATAGTTTCTAAATTTTACTTCCAGAATTTAATTTATATGCTTCTGAAAACTCAAAATTCGCGACGCGTTGCCGCATCGCGTCCGGTCTGTGTCGGCCTTAAAGCCGATTCTCCATTTCCACATTCTCCATCCTTTGTTTTCATGCCGGTCACGGTCGCATGGGCAGATTTTCAAAAGCCGCTTCGCCCGCGCGGGTGAGGCGGACGGTAATGGAGAATAGCCTTTAATCCAATGCCCACGAATGACTTTTTGCTACGCACATAGCTCTAGTGTGCGCCAGCCGGCTTTAGCAAACGAAAATTCTCATTCTCGGCTTACTTTCGTGCACGATGAACTCAAAAAGTAATACAGCTAACTTGATAAAAATTTCATGGTTGACTTTAAAGACATTCGTAAGTATGATGACTGGACATTCGTACAAGTCCTTTTTGCTCAGAATAACTTTCTTACTATAGTATAGGAAGGATAAAATTTTATGTTATCCAAAGTCAAAGAAAAAATTTTTAGACTGTCAAACCCCATTAAATGGAATCAGAGATGAGAACTCGATCCTTGTTTTCATGTTATAACTTATTCCACGTTTATTGTTGAAAACAAAAAAATCCTCTTCGTACTGACTCGTGAGAGAAGAACTTGAAATCCATTTCATTTGAGATGATTGAAAATTGAGAACATCAAAGTGACGTAATGATCGGAAAGCTCTATTAGCGGATATCTAGGTGCAATCGATCACGTCTATACATTAACCATCACGCTATCGTTGGGAACATGTCGTTTTATAAAACTAGCAAGCAGAAACACGAGTGATCTATACAGACTTAAACTAATATTCCTGTCGCTTACCCGCAGATATTTCAGGGCAACTACGATAGCCAAACGATTGTTAGAAATCTATTCCAACCTCCAATTACGACGAATGAAGTGCGGATACATCCAGAAACGTTTAAAACGAATCCAATCATGCGAGTAGAACTCTATGAATGCTACACAGGTATAGAAACAATAACCACAACCTTTCTTAGGTATTCGTGGCAGATTCCATGCATGTAGGATTTAGGAATAGGCTGAAATACTTTTTAGGTAATTCCAAACTATCGAAACGTTTTAAGAAGTCGATATGCGAGATTCCTAGCGCAATGAGGCCTAGGTTATGCGTCGCATTTTGGCGGTCGCGACGAATGTAATTCAAACAATAGTTGAGATGTTACAATTCGTCTAGCCTCATTAGCATCTCATTATCCATTTCTTAAATTACATTCGACGCGACCAAAATGCGACGTTTTAACCGGTTTTCCACTAGTCCGAATTTCTCGACCGAACAAAATTTTTCGCTCGATTTTCTTGTCATTTGTGACCGTGCCATTTTCGTGCCATTTGTGACATTTCTCACAATCGAAAAGAAAATCGAAAGAAAAATTTTGTTCGAAAAATTACGCCTAGTGGAAAACTGCCTTAAGGCTGTTTTATTCCGACTGAAAATCTGATCATGCAAGCGATCTTGGTCCGTGGCGGGCCTGAAAAACAAAGCACGCTTGGCGTGATCGTAATGAAGAATCGCCTTTACTAAAATTGTGAACTGTATTGGAATGCATTTATTAAACATTTTATCTTCTGTACACGCAGATCATTGCGCTTCTCAGCCGTGCCTGAACAATGGAACCTGTAGCCAAGGAAACGGCAGTTTTGTATGCGACTGTGCTTCTGAGCTTTTCTATGGGGCAAGATGCGAAAATGTCGGTAGGTTTACAGTCAGGCCCTGTTCACTCTGGTCTTTGTATGCACAAACCAGTGAACTCAAATAAGACTGGAACGCTCACTCTGTCGAAAGTTTGAAGCCAATTAAGATGGCGGACACTGAAGCCTTTCTTGTAGGTATGATCCAGGCCTCCGGCGCGGAAATTTCGTAGGTGAAATGGCGGCAATTATGATTTTCCTTTGAAATTTCCGCGCCAGAGGCCTGGATCATACCTACGAGAAAGGCTTCATGATCCGCCACCTTGGCTTCACTCATTAATGAGGGAAAGTCAGAGAGTGAGCGTTCCAGTCCTTTTTGAGTTCACTGGCACAAGCTAACTCGAGTGAGCAAGGTTGACCCCATGTGCACGTTTTCTTAGTTTTCTCGGTGTATAACCACAGATAACTGAACTAAACTGAACTAAAGGTAGTTTCATCCGGATTACCAATAAAATCTACATTAAACTAAATTACACACTTTAAGATATATAGCTATTAATATTCTTGCAAGTTTGCATGGTAACATGAAATAAGTAGATTAGCTTGTAGGTACACCACGTAAGTATTTAAGTATATACTGCAAAGCTTTCCGTCCGTTAACCCGGGCTTTTATCAGCGCAATAAATATATAGCTATTGTTATTCAATTGGGCGAAATCACACAATCCAATGGATATTTTTCGTCATATATTAATATATTCTAAATTGATTGGGTCCTGATTAGATTACAGCTAAAATCATTATAGATATTAGACTTAATCACGACTAAACAGGTCATATAGTACCGGTGCTAAACAACTCACAGTAATTCCTTTATCATTTTCTCTTATACACTTGTCTCACAATGATGATACTCCAGTTTGTTATCCTTTTTTTGTTACTATTGTTATGCACATCTGTTAACACCTAATCACTAACGTAATCACTTCTCATGCAAAAAAAAATAGGTTGAATCGAATAGTAACAGTCTAAATAATAAACTAAAAAATTATTTTCCGATCCAGGTATATATTCAAAAAGTATTGCTTGCCAAAAATCGTCGTCCATTACATGCAGTCTGTTTCATTCATAGACTGAATAATAGACATAGAATGTGTGACCCGTGTCTGGAATGAAAATACCCTTATAAAATAACGTTAACATCGCAGCGCATATTGGGAAAAAGTCACGGAAAGAGTTAAATTTGTCCTTATAAATCCGCCCACTTTTGAATAGCCAATGTAGCGTCAGTTTCATAACTGAGAAGGCACAGAAGCCCGCATTCATGTGTATTATTTCTATGGTTTCATCGGTATAGGAATCTTCATTCATCTTCATATAATTTATATTTACTTTGTATTTTACAGCTGCTGTGTGTAAATACCATCCTTTGCTTAACTTCAGTCAAATAACTTTCTCATCAAGTAAATATGCGGTGGAAAACATTTTAACAGGAGGTTGGGCACCAAAAAATGATGATGGAGATCCTTGGCTGCAGGTTATATTAATTATAGCTACTCATCCTGGCACAAATATAAGACCAAAAGGCGTAGTATGAGAAAAAGGTTCAGGGACTGAATCTTACTGAAGGCACTCAGCCCTAATATTAATCCCTCTAAATATAAGAACCCAACTGACGAGTATTAATCCCCCGGAGTATAAGACACCCCCCCCCCCCGAATATTAGTCCACTGAATATAACCGTCATTTCTCAGTTTTCATCTTTGATTGATTAATTTGTTCAGCAATGATCATTATTATTATTATACATAATAAGTATTCCCAATCGGGTTTTTCAATACTTATTTACATTACAAATATGAAGGTAAAAAACTAATATATACTACGTCTATAAAATTAACTTACAGGCTATATAATGGTAAAAGGAGAATACAAGTATATACAATATTTACAAGTAATAATAAAAGTTTAATCAGGTTTCAAAGTATTGCCTTAGCATATACCGTTTTAATTTAGTCTTGCATGAATGACATTAACGGCAGTTTTTGAGATCTTCTCCCAGACCGTTCCATGATTTCACAGCTCTATATCTAAAACTTCTCTGACCAGTAGTGGTTGAACATAGGGGAATATGTAAAGTATGATCATTTCTTGTCGTGCGATCTTTTAATTCTATACGCTTGTGTAAAACGTTCGACAAATATGGGGGAGCTAAACCCTACATACATTTGTAGATCATGACCGTGTCTCTGTACAGTAGATGCTCTTTAACAGGAAGCCGAACAATGTCATGTAAAACTGGCGTAATGTGGTCAAATTTTTTTCCCGTTAGTTATAATTCTGCACGCAAAATTCTGAACAGCTTGTAATTTCTTAATATTTGATGAGCTTGTATTTGACCAGATTGTGGAACAATAATATAATTTGCCCATGACCACAGCACTGATGATATGAGTCAACATATTTCGATCGAAACAATGTTTCACGCGGTTTATTTGGCATAATTTTGCTTATACACGTCAACGTGAGATGATTGATGTGCTCATTATAAGTCAACTTACAGTCTAGGATCATCACTAGAATGAAATAAATCTCCAATTTTCAAATATTCACTTTTCAGCGCATAACTAAAAAAGGGATTTTTGATAAAACTTATTTAAAAATCGATAATCAGGCATAGGCATGGTATATATTTTTCAATTTTCTAATTTTTTTTTGCAGTCGATGAGTTGATAAATGGTTTGTTTGTCTTTATTCAATAACCAACCAACATAATATTTTTTAGTTGGAGTTCCACCGTTTGGAGTTTGTTTACGCCATTGATACGAAAGGTTGGAAAAGTCAATGGGTCCAAGCTTACGTGAAAAACTACAGTATTTCATATGGTGAAACGCTAGCGGCAATTGAGAAGTACAAAGACAAAGATAACACTGAGAAGGTTAGAAGTAGAGACGTAAATAGAATACCATATTCAGGGGCCCGAGAAGCAGAACGGCAACCTAACGCCCCCCCCCCTTACCCCCGGAACAACATTTCGGCCCGGCTTCAGTAAGGCTTACTTAACAGTGAGTTCAAAAGGTGCTAAAAGAAGTAGAAATATCCGCCCTAGGCCCAAGGTTAGAAAATGTTTCCTCGATAAACATGCCGACCAGGAAAGGTAAAGCTTGATACGATTCACCGTAAAGAGGTGATGAAAAACATATCACTTGATAATTTTACTTACACCCCCCCCAAATATTTCGGAATGTACGTCTGGCCCTAATAGTTGAGAAGGCAACGGAATATTGCATTAACAATTATTTTCCGAAGGCGAGGTGAATATCGCTGAATAAAAACCGAGACTGTTCATGCAGTTTACACGAACAGGCCAAATTTTTAACTCCTTCTGTTCATCAGGAACAGTGTTAAAATTACTAACTTTTGTTAAAATTATTAACTTTCTCATTCGTCACTTTGAGAAAAAACTCCACGCAATGTTAAAAAAAACTACTCTCTTAGTCGAAACCGAAAATAAATGCTGTGCATTATAATTATTAATAGATATTTACTGGCAACACAGACGCCACTTCATTTGTACGTAACCACTTCATACCCCACATGAAGGCCAGATATGTGAGGATTCATCCGCTGGAATACTCAGGTGTCAGCATGTCATTGCTGCCGAAGCTCTATGCTTGTGACGACGGTAAGATTACTGTGTGAAGCTAGGACTGTTCGCAAAATCCATTTCACTTCTGACTCATGGGATGTAGTCTGTTTGTATTGATAAAGCAGCACTGCTTTACTTTAGTTGATTAACCCATATGCATTGCAAGTCAACAGACGTGTGTATAAAACATCCATCAGAAGTGAATAAGACGCGACATTGTTTGAAAAATTAAATTCAAAGTGCACAGTGTATTCAATATCTTTTATCCTGACGGCTGACGAGCTCTAAAAGGACATACGAAAAAGTTCACGTTATTTTTTTTGTCTGCCATATTCTTTCTCTCCAGCTTGCACTGGTATAAATTGTTTGAACAATGGTTCCTGCTCTGCAATTGCATGGGACGAAGCTTACTGCAATTGTAGTGGAACAATGATAAACGGAAGTCGCTGTGAAAGTAAGTTTGATAGATGAATTATTGATCCATGTAAATAAGAGTGAATGTATAATACGTATACACTACGTATTATCAGAAGGGTAACTAGAGAGTGTTTTCGTGTCCTCAAGTTTTCCGACGTGTAGCTACATTTTGGGAAAATTAGTGCATGGGACAAAAAAATTATCCCTAGTTACACTTCGGAGATTACGTATTTTGTAACTTGGGTGTGTCGTTCGACACTTCGACGATACGATTCGAAACAAAACTGGGCAATGAATCACCTCGAATGACTAAAGCTAGTATAGGTCTAAGATTTGTGATTGGCTTAATGGACGACTTGCGCTTTAGACTAATTTTTGATCGAAGTAATATGATGAAAATAAATCAGAATGCACAGCTAGAAAGAGTGTACTTGAATTTACTAGTGCAAATATACAATGTTTGCAGTCTGTGAAATTTGGTAAAATACGGAAAATACAGCAATGTGAAGTTGGCATATTAATTTTGTATACTTTTGTATTACGCGCGGAAAAGTGTAACTAATTTAGTTATACACTTCTGGCCGTAATACAAAAGTATACAAAATTCGACAACTTCGCATGGCTGTATTTTCCGTAATTTGAGCCCCTTAAAGACGAGCTAGTTTTCTATGACAATTTTTTATATGAGAAGTTTAATTAGCAATTGCAGTGTGTATGTAAAACAAACTTTCATGTGTTGTCAAATTGTCAAATGACAAATTTTTTTGACAAGTTTTACTTGCTCGTGTGAACGTGCCAGCAAGTTTACTTTCACAATTTTCCATAATATTCCATAAACTTCTCTAAACTTGACCTGAGCAGTTTTTATCCGCGCCAAATCGGTCAAGGATACAGCGCTAATGCTAGCTGCCACTGCAAAACACAAAAGTCCGCTGGTCAAACTCATACAAGTGCTCACATTACTTTGTTGATTCATACAGCGAAATTTTTCTTTCACAATTTCAAGAACACTTGTTCAAAATCAAGTATATACTTGATTTTGAACAAGTGTACTAACCGTACTTGTCAAATTTGTCAAAGTTGGGCGTACAGACAAACAATTAAAACTTGTCACATAAAAACTTGTCATAGAAAACTTGCTCGTCTGTAAGAGACTTAAATTACAACAATTCGCAGCCAAACTTGGCAGTCTTACTAATTTTAGTAAGCTCTTTCAGAAAATTTCCTTTTTATCACTGAGATACGAAATTAGTCTAAAGCGCAAGTCGTCCAATGCTATATTAATACCATTATATGGTAGGAATAGTCGACTGTCCTGCCTAATTGTCAGCACCATTGCCCGTTTAGTTTGCAGTGAACCGATAGCGCTGGGTATGGAGTCTGGTTTCATTTTGGATGATCAAATCACCGCTTCGTCTGATGCTGATGTAAACTCCAAATCTAAATTTGCAAGATTGCATGATTTTGATGGTGTAAGAACTGTTTTTGGTTGGGCACCGGCGAGTAACGACACAACCTCGTGGTTGAAGGTTGACTTTAAGGTATTACCGCCTTTATGTCTTTTTGCATTTGCACATGAAAATGGTAAATCTTCGCCTTTATAGCACAAGACCACAGTTCTACTCGTTGAACTTTTCACACAGTAAAATTTTCAGCGATTGACTGCTGTTTTTGGCTTTCCGTGCATGCAAGGGAAGAGAGATTATTTGATACAAGAAATGGATTCAATAAATTAATTTTTCTTTGGAACGACCTTGTGAACCAAAGATGGTGACTTGTCGATCTTAAAACATTATTTTCGGATTTGAAATTCAAGTCAGTGGAGAAAACAATTTAAAAAATACATGTTTCTTAGGTCGCATCCTTCCTTTATGTATATTTTTTCGGTATTCCATAGTCAGTTAGCACGCCTATATAAAGTCGCCGTATCACGCCATTTATTCACCAATTTAAGTCGTACGTCTTTGACATTTCCACCCTGGAACTAAATCCGTTTACATCTTTTGTACCAATTGACGATGACTGAACTGGAAGGCTGCCTCCGGCCCGAAACGTGAAGCCAAAATTCTCCAATTCATGCCCAGTTTGAGCATCTATCACAATATAAAAACATCTTCAAAAGGACTTATAGAGCACTTGGCACTGCATTTTTACGATAAAAATTAAAACTGAACGATTTAGGATGAAGCACTGAAGATCAACTTATAAAGCTCTTATTCAAGTGGAAATACCATCATAGAATCGTTACGACGTGATTTAATGAGATCTTTCGCTCGATGAGCTTTTAGGATGCAGCCGTTGTAACTTGTTAGCCCCAAAACCATCTCAGCCCGAAAACTATCAGCACACGAGAAAATCTTGCCTCTCCGGGCAAATTCCTCAGGAAAACTATCCGCACACGAGAGAAACTTGCTGAGTTAACAACCTCGCGAGGTCTTTAGCACAGTTAGGGAGATTTAGCCGATGAGGACGTGAACGACAAAGACGACGTAAAAATGGCGAATAAATGGCGTGGCGTGTCCATATATAGACGCATCACGCCATTTATTCGCCATTTTCATGCACGTCCAGTTCCTGGTGCTAAATCTCTCTACTAGCTCTCCTGTGTGGCTGGCTTTAGAATTCAGCGGGTTACAGCTTTAAATTAAGGCATATTGCAAAAGCATACTTAAATATAGTCGGAACATTCATATTTACTCAATGTTCTTCATGCAGACAAACACGACATTGAGCTCAATATCAATACAAGGGGGTGATAGCGACAGTGAAGTTGATTATGTCGATCGTTTCGCACTATCATACAGCTTTGATGACGTCGTATATACTTGGTACCAGAAGGTATGCTGTGCTCTCTTTTTGCTCTCATCTCCAAAAGTCTTTGCCTTTCGTCAATAGATAACTCTCCTCATCTTATTTCAATGGAAGACCGATCTCCCTCGGTCTCCTTTGACTCAGTTAAAATGCTATACACGTCTTATGAATCGTGCACTTAATAGTTCTTGTATGATTTTTTATTAGTTAAAAAAAAATTTTACTGGAGCATTACACGAAAGTTATGTAAACAGAAGAGACATAGACCCCAACATTGTTGCTCGTTACGTACGTCTGCATCCTTTATCTTGGTATCGTTACGCTCGTGTCAGATTGGAATATTTCGGATGTCAAGGAAGTAAGTAGTCATTCAACGTGAATTTAAAATGCGTGTGTGCATGGTCGTTGGCATCTTAGACGGTCAGTAGTATCGTTTGAAATTTTGAGTTCAAAACAAAACACACACAAAACTTTACCGCGAAAATTTGTGTTTATCTTCTAATTATATAGCTATAGTCACCGCATGTTCGTCCAATCCCTGTCTCAACAATGGCGTTTGCGCTGTAACTTGGCTTGTTGGGTTTGTATGTCACTGTATTGGAGATTACTGGGGGAGACTTTGTCAGGATACGTGTAAGTTTGTTGTACTGGCTAAATATTTTACTTTTGTAGCTTATAAGCTTCAAAGAATATGTTTTTCAATCGGCGAAACGTGTATATGAATAGGTGTAAAATCGTTATTACCTAATTTTCTTTGAAAGTTAAATAATTCGTTGAGATCCAGGCTTCACAGTTTCAGGGTTCTGTCCAGTGGAAAAAGCACTTGGTATATCAACGAACGAGGTGCCCAACAATCAATTTCTTCGTCATTCATCTAGTACAAATGTCGCGTTTACAGTTGGGAGGCTCAATGGTACTAAGGCCTGGGTGCCGAAAGCCTGGGAACCGAGTTGGCTGGCGGTAATATTTGTATTGCCAAAATTATGAAGCATGCATGTATTTAATAAGAAATGTATTAAATTTCACTTCTATTTGCAAATTCTTTACGTTTACCAATGTAGGTAAGTCTCGGCCAGGTGTTTAATGTGACTGCAATTGAAACGCAAGGATATAAAGGTCGCGGGCAATGGGTTTCCAGGTACAAAATCAAATACACTGAAAGTTATCATAAGAACTACGTCGATTACACTGAAAACGAAGGTGAAACCAAGGTAATGGCAAGATAATTGCGTTTTCCGTTATCAACCAAACAAATTTATTCGCGCAAACTAATGATAAAAATGAAGTATAGGAAGCGATTATATTTTTGCGCGGCGAATTATCTCGCAAACTAATCACATCACCGCGGATTTCAGTTATACCCTTGCATCGCACGAATAAATTCGCATGGTGGAAAACGGGTTTAAACTGTGTGAGAAAATTAGTGTGCCCAGTAAAATCAATGCAACGGCTAAAGCTGGAGAATTGCCGCGCTTGAGCGATTCCCAAGGAGAATAAATGGTACTATAGGTACTACTGCAAGTTTAACCAC